AGCGCCACACTGGGTTCCCCGGTTTTCTGGATCCTGTGTAAAATGTTGATCAGTTTCCTGGTCCCATCCGAGCCTTGTCTGCCTCGGACAAACCCCACTTGGTCATCTCGAATCAGTGTTGGTAATATGTTACCCAGCCTGTTTGCGTAAATTTTCGCTAAGATTTTTAAATCAGTATTTAGGAGCGATATAGGGCGCAGATTCTGGCATTTATTTGGGGGTTTCCCTGGTTTTGGCAGTGTAGTTATGTGGGCCAGCAGCATTTCGCTTGGTATAGTGCCTGTAGTGAGAATATTATTGTATAGTTTTTCTAGTTTGGGGGTGAGAATGTGAGAGAAGATCTTGTAGTATAAGTTCGTAAAGCCATCTGGGCCTGGTGACTTCCCTTTTGGGAGGGCTTCGATTGTGCGTGCAATTTCGCTTTGGGTAATGGGTTCTTCTAGTAGAGTCTGATCTGCCTGCGATAGTTGTTGTAATTGCACTTCTGTTAGAAACGCGTCTATCTCCATTGGGAGTGGTTGGTGTGTATGCTGATCCCTTTTTAAGTTATGTAGCGTATCATAGTAATCCGCCAGCGTATTGTTTATATCATGTGGGCTATACATTTTATTGCCCGTGGCGTTTAAGAGAAATGGAATTTTTGCGTTTTGCCTTTTCTGCCGCAGGAGTGCTGCCAATGCTTTCCTTGCCCTGTTTCCCTGGGTGTATGTTTTGAGTTTCATCCTATGTGACATGATAGCTGTGGTACGCAGGTGTATGTCATTCAATTTCCCTTGAAGTTGAGCTATGCGCTGCTGTGCGGAGGGGGATGGGTGCATGATGTGTGCCGACGTTTCGTCCCTAAGTGATCTCAAAAGGTCTATATACTCTTTCTTTGCTTGCCTATTCAGGTGAGATTCTTGGCTAATCAAGAGACCCCGTATGACTGCCTTATGTGTTTGCCAGGTTGTGGCCAATGAGACATCGGGTGTTTCGTTTAAGGCAAAGAACGAAAGTATCTCTTCGTTAAGTTTGGTTTTAAATTCTGGGTTGTGTAAGAGAGTGTCATTTAGATGATCATTCTGCTTCTACAAATTTCATGAGTGTGCACTCACTTCCTCATGGAGTGTTAAATGCAAGCATGTTTTCATTTGGGTATATCTACTAAAATATCTACTTTTTTTGGGTAGTAAAGTCTTTCTTTAAGGAATATTATCAAGTCCATTATTTAATGTTGTTAACAAGAAGAATGTTTGGTGTGAATCCCTTTTCTTACTATCTAAGATTAGTAGTAACTGGAATTAAGCCAATTTACCTGCACTCAGTGGAAATAAATGTAAGTGTTTATTAAGAAATTTACCAAAAAATCAAATAGTACTTGGACTCAATCACACCTTAGGTGCAGGTATCTGGGTCACCTCTCAAGACCCATAATGAAATAGTAGAGAATACCAAAATGATACCACACTCAATTTTATAGCAAAATCGAAAAAGGTTGCCTGCCAACAATTTCTATCCTTGTATCCCTACACTTTCAGAGCGCAGCACCGGATCTGCTTACCTCCATCCTGCTGCTACATGCTGCTTCATCCTGCTGCTACATGAGGAACTCCTACAGACAAAGTGAAAGAGATCTACAGTTGATGAATCCATCCTTTTTTTTTCTTGTTTTTTTTTTTTTTTGAATACATATATTTTTTTCATAATTTTTTCTTTATATTTAGCATTTTAATTTTTTAATTTTTTCTGTTTTGGATCTACCACCATACACTCAGGATTGGGACAGATCATTGACACGTTAAAGGACCACTATAGTGCCAGGAAAACATACTCGTTTTCCTGGCACTATAGTGCCCTGAGGGTGCCCCCACCCTCAGGGACCCCCTCCCGCCCGGCTCTGGAAAGGGGAAAGGGGTAATAACTTACCTTTTTCCAGCGTTGGGTGGAGAGCTCTCCTCCTCCTCTCCGCCTCCGATCCTCCCCGCCGGCTGAATGCGCACGCGCGGCAAGAGCTGCGCGCGCATTCAGCCCGTCGCATTGGAAAGCATTTACAATGCTTTCCTATGGACGCTTGCGTGCTCTCACTGTGAAAATCACAGTGAGAAGCACGCAAGCGCCTCTAGTGGCTGTCAATGAGACGGCCACTAGAGGATTAGGGGGAAGGCTTAACCCATTAATAAACATAGCAGTTTCTCTGAAACTGCTATGTTTATAAAAAAAATGGGTTAACCCTAGAAGGACCTGGCACCCAGACCACTTCATTAAGCTGAAGTGGTCTGGGTGCCTAGAGTGGTCCTTTAAGAATACTTCAGGAACTCTGTTGCACAGATTACTGATATCTGTGTGCCCTCTATTTATCCTAGTTTTTTGCTTTGTGCATAGGAACTGTTGGCAGGCAGTATTGTAATTGTATAGGTATATTTTTTGTACTTTAGTGTATAGAGATATAATATTTATGGTGATTTGGCACTAAGCACTTTGTAATGTTTTGCACTTTAAATTTGGTGGACTAGTTATGTCAACTGGGATATATATTTATCTGTACATAGGATCAATTAGCACTCTTTCCTATACCACTATGTTGTGCTAATAAACTAACCTTTTTCTATTTTGCTATAAAATTGAGTGCGGTATTATTTTGGTATTCTCTGTAAAGAATTTTACTCTATGTTTAAAAAATGACAAATATTTCATCTTTCTTCATAGAGTTTTTTTTAGTTATGAAGGTCAAAACGTTCACTCAAATCATTTAGAGCTATCTAACAAAATTAGACATTAAAATGGTTTTCTGTGAGGGAACTTTTACTAATATTACAAAATGCTTTCAGAGCTTGTCAAACCTTATATAAACTGGTTTTTTAAATGTATAATCTTTATTGAAGATTTTTTTTAATTTATTTTTTACATACATTGTTTCAAAAACAGATAAGTGTAAAAGAACGGATGTTACATTTCATTTTAACAATAAAGAAAGATAAATTACTGTACATAACATAATTTTTGAGGACAATCTTTCGTTTATAATGTAGCATGGGATCAATGTTGTAACAATGTTTTATTGTTGTTATTTCAGAATTACTACATGTACATATTTTTTGATAATATCTCTTTTGAGTAAACTACATCATGTTCTAACTGGGAAAACAAAAGATAAAGAAGAGAAAAATAAAGGAGAACAGAAAAGGAGGTATGTGGGTGGGAGGTGAAAAGGAAATGGAGAACTCCGGAGGGATCTGCCCTGGCCAAGGGTAGTGTTTCATTTCTTCATAAAGTTTTGTTGATTTGAGTGCACTAATGACTAAGGAACCTTGCGTATTCTAAGCTGATTTCCAATGTTTCGCAATATTATTTTTGGCTGCTGTAAGGACTTTGTGTCTGCCACTGTGAGTTTGGCAGCATATCTAGGAGGTATACTTCAGGTATGAGTGATAAGGTAGTTTTTAGCAATTTCTGCAAAATTACTTCAATATTTGACCAGTATGTATTTAATTTCCTGCAGCTAGCTCCAGAATATATGAAGTAAAGAGCCTGCCTGGCATCTTCAATATTTACACGTTGCTGTGGGATATATGTAGTGTAGTCGTTTGGAAATTAAAGGGACACTATAGTCACCAAAACAACTTTATCATAATGAAGCAGTTGCGGTGTATAGATCTTGCCCCTGCAGTCTCACTGCTTAATTCTCTGCCATTTAGGAGTTACATCACTTTGTTTATGCAGCCCTAGGAACTCCTCCCTGCATGTGACTTAGACAACCTTCCTAAACACTTCCTGTAAAGAGTCATCTAATGCTTACACTTCCTTTACTGCAAATTCTGTTTAATTTAGAATGTATTATTCTTCTCTGTTAATAGCTTGCTAGACCCTGCAGGGGCCTCCTGTGTGTGATTAAAGTTTAATTTTCACAGTAGGAGATACAAACTTTTCAATTAAGTAACATTTGATTGAAAATTAGACCATTTTGTTTTCATGCGGGCTTTGCCAGTCACAGCCAGGGGAGGTGTGGCTATGGCTGCATGGATAGAAACAAAACTGATTTAACTCCTAAATGGCAGTAAATTTAACAGTGAAACTACAGAAGCACAATGTATGCACCAAAATTGCTTCATTAAGTTAAAGTTATTTAACTACCAGTCAAATAACACTTTTCTACTGATTTTACAGTGGGAGATACATTTGACATAGCTGCAAAAGCTTTCTTCCAGTCTTCTGTCGGAAATAGTTTCTGTAGTTCTCTTTCCCATTGGCAAGTAAAGCATGCTTTCTGATTGAAATTAAAGCACGTGGTGAGCAGTTTAAGGAATAATGAAAGTTTAAAGTCAGTGGGAATGTTGAACAATTCTACTAGAAAATTCAATAAACCATGACTTGCTGGGAATTGACCAGAGAATTTTTAAAATTGTTCAAATTTTGGCCAATTTTGGCCATTTTGTCTAAAATGCACAATTCTTTGATCATTTTCTGACAATTCCCAATATATTGTATAATCCTGATAAACGTGCCATTTGGGGGGTTCTTGAGCAGTTCCCTTTTTGGGTGTTCATGTTTAAAAACAGGGGTGAACAGAATGTAGACCAGAAGTTTGTTATTGTAGCACAGCAATTTACATATAGTAATTGAAATCCTGCAACAACTTTTCACCACAGTTACCTTTAAAAATGTATTACCACTTGGAAATCTACTCTACTGGACAGTTTTCACCATGTCCATCCTATGGGCTCTGAACTAGTGTGATTAGAAGCAGCCAAAGGAACAGGGTCTCTACAGAACCATACATCTATGAAATTCAATTGAGGATGCCATCTCATTATTTCATAAAACATAGAATTTATTCATTGAAAAGGTTAAAAATAAAAACAAGCTTCCCCTAGAGAGGGAGATGTCAAAAACAAAATACATAAACAAAATAATTTTTAAAAAAACCACAGCATAACACATTATGTACATATTCATGTATTTAATCATATGATTGCATTTTATCTATCTACATGGTCTTATATACTTCAGCTAATTACCCACATAGTAATTACTAAAACACGTCCTCTAGTAACATTAACCCATTATGCTCTTCAATTGGGATAATATTCCTATGCGTACAACTTGATAAAATATTTAAATATTAAATTTCTTACTTATTGCTGAGATTAACTCTTAGATCAGGTATAGCATATGTTTTTACTTTTTGCAATACTATCTAAAAAAAAAAAAAAAAAGAAACAGAATAACCTTTATAGGAGAACCATGTAGAAGCATTGTATCTCAAAAAAAGCTTGGAAAATAGAAATATACAGAAATATAAAAATGTTTGAAAAGCTTCAACAAAGTTGCCCTCATAATGTAGTGTGTGGACACACTGGCATTAGAATGACAACTGATTCTCATAGGTCAATGTTAACATATCATGCTGTCATAAATGGTTCTGGTCCCTGCCACAGTTGCATCCTATTGATTTGAGATAGAATAACATGTTATTTTTGCAGACAAGTGCATTGAGACAAGTGTATAGTGGGAGGTCATCAGTACTCATAATGCAACAAGTTCATGATAGGAGTTGATAAATACTCACAATGCTCATTCACATTATCCAGAGCCTGTTAAGGCGGATCTCTTGCTATAAGGATCCCTCAGCTGACAACTGAGGGATCCATGCATCTGTACTACCTGATGACCTCCAACCATTTTTAGAAAGTGGAACCAGCTTTACTTCCTGTTAGTAATGGTTTACCAATCCCTCCAGGTCTTCTTTCAAGGATCTTCACGTTTCTAAAATGGTGGATCCTGGAAATGAAGACACAGGGTCACATAATGGGCTGATTGGGCGTCAGAAGAGGATTAGTGATGCACTGCATAAAGAAGTGACGCAGTATGGGAGAGAGATGAAAATGGAATCAGACGTCCTAAGATAATGTTGACAAAGGCCGTGGAGCTTGAGTAAAGCTCTACCTTTTATCAACCTTCGGGTTATACATAAGGAAGGGAAGTCCATACTTTTCTATGTATAACTTTGAAATTAAAGGGACACTATAGGCACCAAGACCACTCCTGCTTTTTTAAGTGGTCTGAGTACAATGTCCCTAATTGCCCTTTGTCCTGCAATGTAAAACATTGCAATTGTAGAGAAATTGCAATGTTTACTTCGCAACTCTAAGACAGCCTCTAGTGGGTTGCTAGGTGACTTTTGGTTGCCTAACTAACACTGGACGTCTTCATGCTCTGCATGAGGACTTCCTGCTTCTGTGAAAACCCTATAGAAAAGCATTCATTCTATGAAAACCCCATAAGTCCAGCATTTTTTTAAAAAAAAATTATTGTTATTGATTGAGGATATATCAGTCATACATCAAATCAGTGGAACATCAAATCAAAAGAAATTAAGGAATAAGTTAGAAAAATAAGTAAAGGTTAAACAATATGCATTATAACATATATATATACACACACACACGTGATTTTTATCTGTTATAATATACTTTTTGTTTTTGCAGGAAATACTTACAGTAGTGACTGTTGAAGCATAAAGATAGTGCTCCCTGACATTTTTGGGCTGTGTTCATTTAACACTATGTAACCAACAGCTGATCGAATGAGACGTCATTCCCTGCTCAAACCTACAAACATGTAGATGCACACATATTGGAAAAACAACCACCACTTTAACCCCGTAAGGACACATGACGTGTGACATGTCATGATTCCCTTTTATTCAAGAAGTTTGGTCCTTAAGGGGTTAAAGAAGTCTGACTGTACCCCTTAATGCTATTACCAAATGACAGCCCAAGAAGACTGGACAATTCATAGGTATTTTAGTACATGCTGGATCTGATGGCTCAATGTAAAGCCTGTATGATGTACCTATATCCAGATAATGGGCATTTTAAAAAAAGAAACAATGTCCCAATGCTGAGCAAGCATGATTAGTTGCTCAGCATCATCTCCAGCCACCCATAAAGGGACTGAGAAAGAAAATTACAGATATAGTTATGACGGAGAAAACACGTCTGTTTACAACACACTTTGTCCTGAGCACTCCTCAGAGCTGATTTCTTTTTTTTTGCAGCTAAAACTGAGTGTCTATCCACCCCCACCTATGGACCAGCCTTCACCGTACTTGTTTTAACCTCATCATGATATGGACTATTTTTACTTCAAAGATAAAATATGTGTTCAACCACTTTCTCTCTCTATGAACAAGAATACCCACACAAATGACATATTGCTTGCAAATCAACAAGGGTTTATTTACTGTTTACACTGGCTGGTTTATTCACTGAAGTAAGAATTCAAGGTGACTTTTAAGTGGATTTTAAATTTTAAAAGTGACACACTGGGCACCAATAAATACTTTGCAGAATACTGCAATAAGCCTGCCTCTTTAGCCACACACCCTCACTCCAAAAAAACGACTTCCTTATCAAACATATGCATTAATGCCTATAGGGATCAAATATTCATGCATATCCTACAGGGGTATTTATTGGGGAGGCAAATATCCATCCATATCCTACAGGGGTATTTACTGGGGAGGCAAATATCCATCCATATCCTACAGGGGTATTTACTGGGGAGGCAAATATCCATCCATATCCTACAGGGGTATTTACTGGGGAGATAAATATCCATCCATATCCTACAGGGGTATTTACCAGGGAGACAAATATCCATCCATATCCTACAGGGGTATTTACTGAGAAGGCAAATATCCATCCATATGCTACAGGGGTATTTACTGGGGAGGCAAATATCCATCCATATGCTACAGGGGTATTTACTGGGGAGGCAAATATCCATCCATATGCTACAGGGGTATTTACTGGGGAGGCAAATATCCATCCATATGCTACAGGGGTATTTACTGGGGAGGCAAATATCCATCCATATCCTACAGGGGTATTTACCGGGGAGAGAAATATCCATCCATATCCTACAGGGGTATTTACCGGGGAGGCAAATATCCATCAATATCCTGCAAGGCTATTTACTGGGGAGGCAAATATCCATCCATATCCTACAGGACTACTTACTAAACTGGGAATGAACCAGAAGGTTTTAAATATTAGTCTAATACAGCTAAATTGGGGTTTAAATTACACCTAATATTTTGTAGCTCAGACATTTTGACCTTTAAATTTAGAATTTCAGTTTGAATAACTGACAATTCTTAGTTTACATTTATAGTTATAACCCTGCAAATCCGCATCCAAACTGACTTTAGTGAATATCAATAATGCATTTTGGTTCAAATTTCCAGATTTTGAATTTTAGACCCAAATAATATCACAGCTGTAATCAGAACGAATGATAACTGACTCAGATCCCATGTTCAGTCCGTCTTGTCATTCTAGGGAACCTGGTTCATGTTAGGGACAGCACCACCCGTTTGGACAAGGCTGTAAGTTCAGTAAATTTGTATGAAGATGAAACCCGAGCTATTCCCCAAATTCTTGCTGAGCTGTTTCCGTTCGATCACATGATCTTTTCCAAACTCTGGCTCCAGATGCGGGAGGGGAGCTTCAGAGACACTGAAGAGGAACTGCAGCTAAATGATAACTTTTACTGGACTTTCCTGCAGTCTGAATGACTTTTAAATAAAGGTACTGAGCCCCGCACGCAGAGATTTATGGAGAAGATGTCAGAAGCTAAGAGTAACAGTGATTCGAACGCTGGGAATGCCATCGTTCCTGGAATGCCCTCCAGTGAAGAAGAACGTCCGGATGAGGTGGGACAAGATTCCTTTATATTGTCTCGAGATGCTTTCTGAGATTTTTGGGGTCGTTGTCTTCCTGTAACAGGGCGATGTGCTGCAGGGGGAAGGGGTTTCCTTAGGGCTGCAATGGACCGTTATCCCCAATAACTGCTGCAAACTGTTAGCTATAATTATTCCCCTAGTGTTAATCTGATGCAGATCGGAATGTTGGGTGGGTTTTTCTCCCTCTGCAGAAAGTGGGAATCCTGTGGAAAAGCCAAATGTCCTCACTTTTAGATTATTTTTTTTATTTTTATTTTTTTTATTCCTGTAGACACTTATTAACTGCTTAACTTAACTTAAGTTATTAGGTTTAAATAAGTCACTTAGTAAGATCTGAAGGCATTGACTGCATTGTTTTTTTTGTTTCTGTTTTTGAAAAATAGCTTACATCATGAGATAGAATTACATAAATTAAATTCATGAAATCATTTATGATAGTTCTTTTCATAAGATCACATTTGCTATTAATATTTAAATCATCAATTGTATTTCAGTTAGAAATAAAGTCAAATAGATTTGAAAATGGGTCAATTATTATTAAAGGAGTCTAATGGACCAGGGAAAGGAGTTGCATAGGAATGGTGCAGCCCGTGAATTTATAGTCATGCAGAATAATGCATGTTAATGGTAGCAGGGATAGAGAAAGCGACGTGATTGACTGTAGGCAATTTGGGGTATTCTGAGGGTAGCATTATGTTTTAGCTATACAAACTTTAAAGTGTTTTTACTCACTCTCTCAGTTTTAATGTTTTTTTTTTTTTAATTCTTTATTTATGTCAAGATCAGACACCACATCGAGATATGCAACATGATACAAATGCGTAAATTAACTCTGACACAAGTCAACATTAGTTAGAGGCAAATAGTTGCGCATATTCATAAAACCATCTTTGAACAATATAGCTAACTGTTGCTTGTTGACTATGAGAGTCCGTGTATAGTGGCGTCCCACCCATTTTTAAATTAAGTAATACAAAGACTCCTGACTGACTGTAATACACATGTTACTCTTACACGTTACCCATCATCATCGACCTATAGAATGCGTTAAGAGGTTAGCGAAGTCAGCGGACTCCAGCCTAGTGCACAAGATTGCCAATGTTGTATTGCCATTTTAATCGTGATTAACCTGCAGGGGCCCTTCAACTCGCCCCATCTAGTAAAGGCTTTAGCTAGCGGGTTGGTCGAGGATTAAAAGTCAGTCAGAGTTAGAGAGTGAGAAATTTAATAAAATAGAAAAGGTGATAGTTAAACCGGAAAGTTCAAAGAGAAAAGAAGAAAGAAAAGGGAGAAAAGGGACGGGAATGGGAGGGGGTGTTACAGGGAGTTTCCGTAAATGATACAGGCTCGTCCAGGTGGTCAGGTAGTACTGAAATTGTGAGCAGTGGTGCACTAAGGGGGGGCGGCGGGGGCGGTCCACCCCGGGTGCCACTCACTAGGGGGGTGCCTGGGGCGCACTTTCACAGGGGCAATTTCACCGCCCCTGTGTCTTATGTAAAGGGATTGGCCGCTTACGTGAGCTTCGTATCCAGCAGCAGCAGGGTCCTCTGTTCTCGTGATCCGCAAGAGCATTGCCGCAAGTTGCTATGGCAACCCGCGGCAACGCTCTCGCGGATCGCGAGAACAGAGGACCCTGCTGCTGCTGCTGGATGGGAAATGAGCATGGAGAGTACTGGGCCCCTCTTCACTGCCACCGAACCACCAGTCGAGGAGGACGGGAGGGACAGGTAAGTGTCAGGGAGTGGGGGAGGGGCAAACCATACACACTACTCACCTTCCCAGCACTTATTCCACACAACACACTGCACACACTATACACACTGCATTCCCTATACACACACTGCACACCGTATACACACACTGCATTCACTATACACACACTGCATTCACTATACACACACTGCATCCAAATGTCCACACTACATATAAACACACCACCATATTCAAAAAGCGCAGTACAGAAAAATGCACGCCTGCATTCAAATGCCAATATATGCAAACACATCCGTACATTCACTCACACATACTCCATACAAAAACATGCTTACATTAAAAATATACAAACACTGCTCAGTGCTAAATATATTTTTAAAAATTGTGGTTGTGTTTTACATTTTAAGTTGGGGGAGGAGGGGGGTGCCAAATGCTCCAGGTACGCCCCTGATTGTGAGGAAACCATTTGTTTCTTCTATAGAAATAACATTTATTTTCAAAATATGGCTATTCACTGAACCTGAAATTGCAGAGAAATGCACATTCTAGACCAAAACATTGATAATAACAAAAATGTTATCATAAATCAGATAATTTTGTATGAGACACAATTTATTGAGCATATCTATAGTTATCATACAGTGGGGTACCTCTGTCAATATTACCAAGTTTAACAGTATCATTATGCAGGAAGTATAAAAAGATTGGTCCTACCTGCAGCCTTAAGGTACTGTTGGGGTATTCCCCACTGCACTAGATGACAGCTAATCTGGGTCTGTCTGATATAGTGTGAGAATTGCCATTCTAATAACTGGCCTCAAGGCTACTCCAACTAAAAAAACTGTGTATTCATAAATCATTTGATGATCCACCCCCACAAACACCAGAAGAAAATCATGCTTAAACGTACCTTTTTTTCAGTGCTGAGGCCAAGTTCTCTCTCTACCCGATCAAAGGTGATGGCGTGTAAGGGAGTGGGAATACTGTGATTGTCTGGCACCAGCACCAGTAAGATGCCAGTTTTGCGCAGAATTGACATTATTGGCTAATGGCGCTGCTGGTGGTGGAGGTACACCTATGGCAGTTAAACAGTTAAAACGGTGCACATATAGACTCTAGGCACCATGACAACTTAAAATCACTGAAGTGGTCATGGTGCTTGGAGTAACTTGGAGCGAATTGCCAAGAATGAAATGTGAATTCCACATTTTAGGCTGAATAGTGAACAAAGGTATTTTCATTTTGTATTATTTTTTGCTAGTATTTGTAATTCAGTTTGAATTCCAAGCAATCGGAAGTTTAATGAGTAACACTCAAAGAGTGCTGACTTTAACAGTTGGGGGTATAGCAGCCGGCAACGAGGAATTTCAGTAATGTTATTTCAAACGTCTTTTCCTCTCCTGCCATGTGATATCTTCTTCCTGCTCTTTTAGCAATGTGCACACTCTGCATGAATTGGGATACTAAGGATTTTCCACTGAACAAAGCAAATGTGTCTGTGGACCGTTAGTTTGCATATTGCTTGATGTGTCTAGTAATAGAAAAAAAAAAAAAAAAAAACCACAACTTTCAATGTGCATAATGTTATCCAGGACATACTTGGAAATGAGAAAAATTTCAATGTATCCTTCCTGGTAAAGTATTATTTAAATAAATCTGGGCTTGATGTGATGTGATGTGGACTGGGCTGCAGCGAGAACTTGGCCTTAGTGTGGGATCTGTGTTAAATTTATTCTTTCATTTCTTTTTTTTTTTTTTATAAAGTGTATTTGTAGAATGGGTCTGTGTCAGCAAGGTTACTCAAACAAAAAAACAGGGTTTTATTATTACACTGTTTTTTTGTTGTTGTTTTTTTGTGGGAGCAACCCTTTAATAACTACTTGATTAATGCAGGTTTTAAATACACTAAGCTACTACCCGACACACAATAGGATGTCATTGCTGCATTGAGTGGCATTGAGTTTCAGTGCAGGAGTGTATTTGTATAGAGTATCAGCGAGAGTCAATGGAAGGGTCTGTTTATGTGTGAAGGCAAGTTTGTAGTTTTGTCAATGTGTGTATGTGTGTGTATGACTGAAGACGTGTATTTGTGCATAGTGTCAGTGTGGGTGTATCTATATCACCGGAGATATTTTATCCTTTACTCACAAGTAAGGGGAGAAGAAAGGAGTTGGGGCATTTATTGCCCCCTTAGGCTGGGTGGAGAAAAAAGGGAAGATACTCTCACCCACTGTTTATTTGTAGTTCTTGAGGAATACATACATTTTTTTGTTCTAACAATCTGATGTCTATATCTAATTATTTTATTTGCAAACTGTAACATTCCTGAAAGACATAAAGTGGAAGACTTATTCTAGAAGAGAGAGTTCTGTGATCCTTCACCCCAGTAAATGCTGTTGTATTTAGTGCTGTGATTAGTGTTGCAAAGGTAAGTAAAAAGTAAACTTACATCTGTGGCACTTCAGAGTGGGAGAGCAAGCCTCTAACTCCCAACAGCCCCAGTCAATAGAAGCCAGCCTGCTGCTCCCAAAAGGTAGGAAACTGAAGGGTGGCTAAAATTTTAACCTGTATGTGTGTCTTTGTGTATTTTTCTATGTCTGTGAGTCTGTATGTGTGACTTTGTGTGTCTGTATATCTGTATATATGTGTTTGTGCCATTGTTTGTACTTATGTGTCTGTCCATCTGTATGTGTCGGTTTGTGTACCTGTATGTGTGTCAGTTTTTTTGTATCTGTGTATCTATATGTGTGTCAGTGTGTGTATCTGTATGTATTTTTATCTGTGTGTGTTTGAAATTGTAATTGTTTGTGTCTGTGTATTTGCATATGTTTCAGTGTTTGTATCTGTGTGTCTGTATATTTGTCAGTTTGTGTATCAGTATGTTTGTATATCTGTGTCTGTGTCATTATTTGTATCTGTATATCTGTCTATCTGTATGTGTGTTAGTTTGTGTACCTGTATGTGTGTCAGTGTTTGTATTTGTGTGTCTTTGTATTATCATGTGTGTCAGTGTGTGTATCTGTGTATCTATATATGTGTCATTGTTTGTTTCTGTGTGTCTGTGCATCTGCATGTGTGTTAATGTTTGTACCTGTGTGTCTGTGCATCTATATATGTGTCAGTGTTTGTATCTGTGTGTGTATGTGTATCGGTGTGTGTGACAGTGCATGTGTATATGTGCATATATCTCAGCATTCAAACGCCAACACTAGACACAAATGCATCCCTGCATCCAAATGTCAACACTACATACAAACGCACCTCTGTATTGAAAAACACCTACATTATATATAAACACACCACTGCATCAAAAACCAACACTACGTGAAAATTCATTCCTGCATTCAAGAGCCAACACTACATACAAACACACCACTACATTCACTGACACATTTTTCATAATAAAAACGTACTTACATTCAAACACACAAATACTGTTCAGAGTTACAACTCTGGAAGCATGTGAAAATGGTAGATTCCCTAGCTGGCAAAGCATTGTGGGAGTTGTATGACACACAGGGATCTACCTATTGTCCATCCTTGCAATAGGGGGGCCCAAAAAGTTCTTGCACCAGGGCCCTCTCTACGCCAGTTCCTCCACTGCCTGCATTCATCAGATTAGAAACAATTTCCCACAGTGTGTGGTTTGCTGTAGAAGCACTGCTTCCCCCAGTGTAGCAGAGACCCACTACCCAGGAGTTTTGTGGAGTTCAAATAGATCATGCAATAATTATACATGAGCCCCTTTCGATAATCTAGAGATTTTGACAGATTTTGCAGTTGGTACACCAACCAACTAATTGATCTTACCAGCTTGCAACTGCCTGAATTCAACACTGTTTTAATGGAACTTTGTTTAACTACCTACATGTTTCTTGTATTAATTAGGATCTTCTCCTTGCTGCCGCCTATGTTTATGATGCTCAGTATAACAGAAACATTCCGTTTGAAACCTCTCCTCAAGCAGTCAGGTGAGGTATTGTAAATGAATACAATATGTGGTAAATATATCCAATGTATGGATAAAGCTTTCTTTTTATATGCATGCCGCTATATAAATAATAACAACAATAATAATAATAATAGTGATTCTGCTTTGTAAAGGCCACTTTGTGAGCAGAGATAATGTTTTACCATATATTTGGTTGTACAAGAAGCAATTAAAACAATCTAAAATACAAACAGTGACAAAAACTGTTAGGCATTGCAATCAAATTTTTAGTGCAGGGTGTATGTAACTGATATAATAGTGCTTCCCTAACACTAAAAATAACATACGTATTACAAGAAAAAAATATCATATAAACAAAATATATATGTATACAATATATACAGTGTAAATAGTGAAAAACACGTTAAATGTGGAGAAATAATTTTCCAAGGTAGCGTTCAAATGAATGTTAAAGTACAATACAACGTCTCTAAAAAAAATACAAAAGTAGCATAGTGCAAACTGCATAAAACATAAAATAAAGGGGTGAGGGATGGAGGCAAACCCATATGACTCAGAGCTGTACCAGGTTCTAAGTACAAGGCTTTAAGGCTTCAAGATTCCAAGTTGTTCCAGAAGAGGGATATTTATTAAAACAATATAGAATACACTTATAAAAGAGCAAGTAACTAATACAATAACTGGGTGGTTTGTCAATATAAAGCAGTGTCTATATTATTATGGCAAGTCCATGAGGATCAGTTCACCACTGGCGTCCAATCCAGATAGTACAATCAAGTTCAGTAATGGTAATGAGCAGCAAACATGTTTCGACCGACAATCTTCTTCAAGTGCTGACCTGTTCCTTGCTGGTCTTCCGATTTAAATACTCCATGTGCAGTGCCCAGATATCCATGGGGCATTTAAATCAGTAGGCCAGCAAGGAACAGTCGAAACGCATTTTCTGCTTATTACCATTATTGATTCTACTATCTACTATGTGGATACTGGCAGCATACTATTATCTATTAAGTCTCAGACTAGTAAGTGTGTCCATTTTTATTATTTTGAGTTTGATGAGCAGTGGCTTAGTATCCTGTGTGTTAAAATAGATAACAAGTCATCTTATTACTTCAAAGGTTATTTAGGTAAATTCCAGAAAAAAAGTCTGTGCAGATTAACTTTCAGATTCTGGTAAATGGAAAAAAGTGACATAATTTTGCATCTCTGCAAGCAGTAAGCATGATAATTACAAAAAAATATCTTATATATCTTAGCTCTTAGATCGAGCTAACTTTTTGAGCTATGCTATTGCTAATTTAGTTTCGTTTTTTTTTATAAATTGAGGCTCTGTTTCTCTGTCTGAATATGCTTATCAATGTTTTTGAACACTTATTATATTGTCTATTTGTGTGAAAAGCACTGGCTTAATAAAAGAATGATTGCCAAAAAAACAAAAATATGTTTGGGTCGTTGTCGGAATAAAAATCAGTCAATCAAAGAAAGAGAAATGGCTTCACAGTCCATAACTCAGTATTTTTCAATATAATTCTCTGACAGTCTTTATGAATCACAGTTCAATAAAACATAAGGGTCAATGTTGAAACTACAAATAAACTTCCTGCAGTTACTGGAGTTGTGTGGAATATAGTGTGGATTTTTGCGTGTTTTTTTTTTGTACATGTGTATTTTTGATATGTAAATAGTATTTTTTTATTTTTGCTATATTATATAGTTATGTTTTATGGTTTTCTTCTTGTACTGTGTGTCATGAACACACCCTACTTTAAGAGTGTGCGTGACGTAGTTGTGGTGTTGAAGGGGTTAAAGTTCACTATTTGTCTGCACTAGACCGTAAATAATGATAAAATCCCACTTAACACCACCCACACTTAAGCATTATAATATAAATATTACTATGTTAATGCTGCCACCACCAAGACAATTTATAAATGAGGTGCCTTCGACCCCCAGGTAAATCAATAACAAAAACCCACTAAATGTAACTTAGCACAATATCTATGTAATTGAAAAATACTAACTAGTCTCTTCAGGTACGTGATTCTTTACCAGACAAAGGCAGAACTTAATAAAGGAGTATTTATTCTGAACAAAAAATAGTCACAGTGCATAAAAAAATATAGATGACACTCAAAATTATTTACACCAACAACAGATAAAAACACAAGGGATAAAATAACACAAAGTCCTAATCACTTACTCAGCTCTTCAAAGTAAATACTTCTGCCCCAGGGGGTCTCTGGTAGGAAAGATGGTGACTCACTAAGAATTAGATTCTGAGCCCTCAAGCAAGTACAAGGCACACTTCAGTATCATTAGAGATATGCCCTGTGGATTACCATGCCTCACCCAGAGGTGGAGTTAAGGCATATCTATAGAGACACTAAGTGACCATCCCCTTGTGTCCAGACCCACATCAATCCAAATGGAAACATTTGGTTCTATCTTCTCTTATGTACCTGCTACAGAAATAATAATTGCATCTAAGAATTTGTTATTATTTTTCCATTCTATAGATATGTCACACCCCTTACTTGTGACCCAATATAGCGGACCTCACAATCCCTTCCCCTATGGTTAAGTTAGAAGATGGTGCTTGTCACATTCCAAATATAACAAAAAGGAGGCTTAATTATTATTCTGTGGGTAAATATTAATGTTTTTTTCTTTTGGGTTTGATACTGGATTAACACTAATGGCCATTAACATATCAAAGAGATTGATCCATGAATTAAGAAGTACAGGCCATATGGCTGAATCCAGACTTTCAGGCTTTTCAAGTGTAGAATCTCACACCTTGCAGAGCCTTTGATTAATCACAGGATACATCTTTCCCTTTTCACATTCCTATGCAAGTTACATTACCCCTTCTTTCATCCCAGCTTCAAAGACAATATTCCATAGTGCAATAATGACTTATGCACCCTTGCCGTGACACTGTGAACCTACGAATGCTCCAAGCACCATAACCATTATAGCATGCTGTAGTGGTTTTGGTGCCAAGAGTTCCCTGCAACCCCCCATGATAAGTAGCTAAGCTCAGCAATGCAGGACTTGGCTCATTGACTGAGAGCAAACAGCTAACACCAATGAGTAGGTCCTGCACTGCAGAACATAGCTCTGCAGACCCAAAGGTAGCTCTTAGACTGGAGTTTCTGGCTCACTAATTTGCTGATAGGAGGTTCTAGAAAAGTTTAACTGCTTTCAATGGGGCAGTGACAGTGCACTACTGTCACCATAACCACTACAGCACTGTTAGAAGTTATTTTTTTACAATTCTTTCAATTTTGTTTTATTTTGGTTATTTTTGTAAAGTTTACATAATTATAATATATCATGTAGGTATGATGGAGTAACAGAACATATGGATGACATGTCACTTAAAGTAAACAAGTGGATAATGTCACATTTGAATTAGACTGGGATCTATCACAATCATAGAGGAAGCATAATATGTCAACCAGGTGTGAGGAAACAGTCATCAATAATCAAAAATAGAAGCAGAAAAATAAACAGTAAAAATTAAATGTGTTAATTACAACGAAAGTACATCCTCGGTTGAATGTAAGTAGGTGGGGTATAATGGCATCTCATCAGAAGCTGTATTTTCAGTCGGTTGTGAGGCCGTGTCGGTCTATGCGCAGACTGAAATTCTTGGATAATGTGGTGCATATTAAAGGCTATCGTAATACATATTCTGTATAGCTGTACCAAGTCACACTCCATTTCTGTTGTGTATTGCGTGTCTCTGACACTGAAGTGAGCTAATCTAAAATTGCGGGACCCATGTTCATTTGGGTGTGAGTAGGTGTTTGTAGCCCATGGTGTGAGAGAGCAGTTAAGCTTTTAAGTCGAGAGAGCGTGGGTGTCGAGTATCGTGAACCATGTGACACGTAGAGTTCAATGTATACACTTTATGATTTGCTTTTTAATCAAGTATAAATTTATAATATTTTAAATGTATATGTTAAATATAGCCATATTATTAGATGGACTGAATACATATATGATCTACTGGCTACCTATATAATACATTTAGAGGAAGCTTAAATGATTTGCTATAGGTGGATCAGCAGTATTTTTGCGTTTGTTTAAAAAATACATAATATATTCCTGTTCTTGTCCCTAAGAAGAGTTGCCATCTGTTCATGACTATACTTTGTTATGGTAACAATTTGTTTCACTTTGTTTTAATGATATAACTTTTTTGTTTTATAGACTTTATTACTTTTACAACCACTGGGCTATGCAGATAGCCACCTATTTCTTCATTCTGGTTGATCTGTCACTGGCATTATTTGAGGACCCAGCTGCTTACCCATTACCATTTCTGGTTAGTATGTTAACATTTATTACAGACTGCTTTAGAAGACTCTGTCTGTGGAATGCATTGAGACTTAGCATGCTGTCACTAAGTACCTATTATAAAATGGACCAGTGTGAAATTATTCTGTTTGATCTCCTAGTACGTAACAAGGACAATATATTGCTGGAAATGCAATGCAGCAACAAAGCTGCAAACCTAGATTTATAAAGAGAAAGGTTAATTTGTCTAACCATAACAAAGCGATATAAGAGAAACAATTCCAATAGATAGATATTCTTTATCTACCTGTCTAGCCAACCAGATATATTTTAGCTGCATTAAGCACCACCATGTTGTTGAACATGACTGCCTTCCAAGATCAAAGGCGATCAAGGGGAAATGCTTTCTTTATCACAAAGAAGAATACTTACATTTGTCAGAGTGCAGGGACAGGATCTATGCATCAAAACCACTACATTGACATGGAATGGTCCTTGGTGATTAGTGTCCCTTTAATTACGGTGGAACAGACGCATAGCAAAAGTTCCTAAACAATCTGAAATTTGGAAAACGCACAGTCATGGAGCATAGCTTGCTTGGAGAAGTAGGTGTCAGGGTACCTGGGTCAAGGGCCTCCCTCCCCTCCGGCAGTCTCAGCATTCTAGAGGCCGGCCGCGATAGCTCCGCCCCTTTTATGACGCTGCGCAATCCCGCCGACGTCGTGACGTGAATGACATCACGAACCGCCGAAAAACTCAAACCAGGACGTTTTGGGGGCGTGGACATCAATTAAAGAGCCAGGCTATAAAAAGTACTCACTTACAGTGAGTCATTGCCCTGTCGTGGTTTCAGCTTGTCTGTTCCTTCAGTGCATCTCTTGTGATTGATTTTCTGGTTATAGATCTTTGGCTTGTACCCTGACATTGTTGTTCTCTCCTATCCTTATACCCGGCTTGACTTTCGCTTACCTGTCTTCTCATTCCCTCGACCTCGGCTTCACTCTGACCATTTTTGTTTATGTGACGTTAGTCCAGCCACTCTAAGGTTCGGTACACGTCTGTATAGTTTCAGTACACTGCGTGTTGGATCCCTGCCTTGACCTTGACAGTAGGTGCCAGGCCAGCTTTCTTTATGTGTAAAACTGGAGACATTCTCTAAGTCATCTATGCTTCCAGATTGGCTACTATGGTCACTTTAAATTCACATTGAATTCTCAATTTACTGAATAACCGTTTGTCTTTCTGTGGAGTTGCACACTAGGCCCCCTAGAGGTACTTTATGAGAATACAAGTAGATTAATATTAGAGAGAAACTTATATCACCTCATTTGTCTGTGGATTAATAGCTATAGTTTTGAGTTATAAGATAGTACTTTGACAAAATGATCAGTTTCATATGAACAAACGTTACTGTGAATGTTAGGCAATTGTTTGAATGTTTTAAAGAAATGTGGCTTCAAGGGTGGAATAAATGTTGAGGTTTAGCTAGACAATTTGTTATGCCACATTTTGCAAGTAGTTTTCTGAAAACTGTCACCCATGTTTAAATCCCCTTATCTCATTCATAAGCTATAGGTGATACAGACCCTGCTTTTTAATTTGTGTGTATGAACAATTGTGTTGCTAGGTGAATGACTAGTTACGTATTGATGTGTATGGGAAAGCAGTAAAGTATACTGGAAGGGGATGTATGGCTTCCTTAAAACATTGTTGCTTGTCAGTACTTGGGGTCGATCAGAAAATTTCACAATTAATTTTTTGTAATAATTTACAATTTATTACTTGTAACCATTGCAATCTATGGTCAAGATACACTAATTGTTGTAGCAGGTGTAGTGTTAGCCATTCAGTAGTTTGGAAACTACTTACCGTTATTTAATTAGACTTTTTGAGCTGGTATACTTAGAGGGTTAATCCAAGCATCATAACCACTTCACTGTTTTTAAGTGGTCGTGGTGCTTGAAATCTGTATGAAATATTTTATATCGATGCCAGAGCTGTAAATCCACTTCCGACAGAGTCATTAGCTAGTCTTGAACAAGAGTTCTGGGCTGGCTAATGTAAATGTTGTGCTTATTCTTTGCTCAGCTCACACTCTCAGCCAGTGAAAGACCCGGTGATCGGAATCTGTCTTCTGGAGCTCTGTAGAAACCAGATGTGTATCTCTCTGCATTTCAGGAGGCATTGCACTAAGTTCCTTATAAGAATCGAGCAGTAAGACTTCAGGGGCATGATCTATTCACCAAAATCTTTATCAATCAGCTAAAGGTGTTTTGGTGTTTACAGTGTCCCTTTCATTATTTTACATTAACGATTAATGATTATGTTAATGACGGCAAATAATTAAATTTTTACGAAACTTTTAAAGAATTTTGCTTTTATTTCCAGGTGACCGCACTAGTTGAGGTTATGTGCCTTGTAGCTTTTTTTAGCCGCTTGGTGCATTTTAGTAGAGTTACCCCTCGCAATCTGTTCTGGAAGGATACAAAAAACATATGTGTAATGGTCACAATAATGGTAAGTTCTTATTGTCAAATATTTTACAGTTAATGTCTAATATACAGGAAGCATTTTTTTATTACTTGTACATTTTTATTCTCTGCAATTGCTTATTTGGTTAATGAATCAGCTTCTGCATCTCTAGTACCTACTTGTTCCTCACAGTTTAAGGTCTGATATCCTGCAGGGTCAGTTCAGCCACTCATTACTCAGTTGTTCTCTGTAAAATATAGACTTGTGCACAGTGGAAAAATCTGTTTAAACCAAACCTTATTCTGAAAATACATATATATTTTTTGGTACGGCTGAATTTCATCCATACGGTGGTTCCGCTTGTCCAAATATCGCTATTGAGAAAAGATTTGGGAAAACCAACCAGACAAACCAAAAGGCGTGAAAACGGGCCAATCAGTGTACTGCAAAATATATACTTAATATAAATATATATATTGCAGTGCACTGATAGATGTATTTTCTGCCGTTTGGTTTACAGATCTAATGAGGAAAGCTAATCATTAGAGGGAAAAAGAGGAGAAGCAGTAGTTAAATCTATATTTATATAGTGATATTCTATATATATATATTAAATATATAATATATAAATATAGATTTTTTTACTACTCGTTTTTTTCCCTATTAACACTTGATCCAAGAGTGAAATCAACATTTAGCGTCTGTCCCATAGCCAACTTTCGGTCACCTCTTATTATTGCATCACGGCTCGTATTTCGAATTCTGAATCAAACAAACTTGCTCGCCCATTGCACAATTTGTTCGGTTCGTGTTTCGGCTACATTTCAACTCAGAGTTTGGGAATTCGTACAATCACCTGATCACCCAAATTCTAATGAATTTCAGTTAGTAACTAGACGAACTGCAAGTCCTGTAAGGTTATTTGATATCATTATTAGGATTGTATAGTGTACAATGTCAATTCCTTTAGAAAATTAAGGCACAATAAGATGTAGCATTGAATTAACAGATGTGTTCCTTATAATAAAGTCCTTTTGCCACTATCCAGGCCTAAATTTTGCTTGCCTTCAGACCTCTACCCCAAATGAATAAGGAGAAAAAAATCCCTTAATAAAACACTCCTTGGATTGTGTCTGAAAAAAACAAAAATATTTAATAAATTAGTTTACAAAAGACCTAGCAAAACAAAGTGCACAAAACCAAAAGGCAAAAAAAAGCAGAAAAATAAAAACTTAATGCATTTTGTGTCGCATGTGGCACTTACTCATAGACCAAATGTAACTCAGCATTGCCTACTTCCTACTGCTGGCAGTGTACAATGCATAGAGGAGAATTATAATAATAATATTTTTCAGTTCTAAATCGTAATGTCACTGTTTCCACCATTCTAAATTTCTTACCTGAAATTGATATTTCCATGAAAAATTGCACATTGTGGACAAAATTAAGCCAACACCTTTTAGACCATTTTTAGAACAATTTAATAAGTATGAACAGATGAGAAAAAGTTACATAGATTTTACAGTTAGATAAAAACCTCAACAAAATCTGCTGTTTAAAGGGTTTTCCATGTTTTACTGAAAACAGAAGAGGGGATCGAAAATGGATCTGAAACTAGGACATTATAACGTTAGGAATGCATTTCAAACACTATAGTGTTCCTTTATGACGCTATGTTTCCTTCAAGAGCCTTTGCATATTTAGCAAGGACCTCTGAAGGTGTCACTCCCACATGGGGTCTGATGACCTGGGGTACAGTGGAAAGTTGATATATGTATATATACCTTAAGATGTCCCTTGCAGGCACCGACATCTTCTTACTAGAAAGGGCAATTGACAGAAACGGATGCATTGTCAGAGTCTAGAGCAGTCATTTTGTAGAACATATTTGATTTTATTTTGTATCATATGACAATTAAAGAATGGCTAATAAAACTGTGTTTCTGTTAACAAGTTTTTAAAAGCAGGCATGCATTGGCATTATCCAATGTGTGTGTATCTTCTAACATGTATGAAATTAAATTGCATTGTCCCTGTACAAATGACTTCTTATCTTCATTGTTATTTTCTTTATGAACAGCTGAATTTAATTGATCTGATTATCTGTGGAGCTTTGAGCATCGCTCAAATACGCACCATTCGATGGACAAGGGTGCTACGACCGATTTATTTAGTCAACTTTGCTGAAAGTCGTCAGGTAAGACATGGACAAGACTGTGAAAGTGTCTACTAATATGATCATGTTCAGTTTGTATTTTGGTTGTTTGGGGTTTTTATTTTATTTTTTATTTTTTTTATTTTTGCATTGACATAGACTGAAACAGTGCAGTATAAAGAGGCTTACACAGAAGCCTTATTTCTGTAAATGCATCATTAGTATTATATTACAGGACTGAAAATAGGTGGGTTACATGCATGCCGTGCATCAACTATCTGTGCTTTGCGTGTTCACAGTCTGTCAAATTTTATGTTAACAGAAACGAAAGAAGTATAAAAAACAAAACTGAATATATACTAATTGGCTCTGCGATTCAAGAGGGGTCTTTTTCTTACTCTACGTGTGGGTGCGATCGGGCATTTGTGTGGGTGGGGATGTGAGGGTTTCCGTGCATCTCTTATGTATCAACGAGGCTACACCATGGGAAACAGTGTTTAGGGGCATGATTCAAACATCTCATAGAACGAGCAGAAAATAGAGTGGCCTAAGAAAAATAAATGAGTGATGGAGATAATTGGTAGTTATATACCAAGGAAATACAGTGGCAGCCCCAAAAATCTATTCTTCTTCTCATGTAAAAAGACTGCTCAAATATTGGTATATATAACAGACGACGCCATCAAAAAAATAAGATAAATGGAAAATACCTACTTTTTGAACAATTGATTATTTATTAATACCACCCCATATGTATTTTTTTTTTTTTTTGCATTATTTCCATGTTGCCTAAAATACCTTATGATAGAGAGAAATAAAGTGGATATGTACGTAACTAATTCTAAATCACTAATCTTTTTTTTTATTGACTAACTACATTAAAATAAATAAAATTCTTTCTTAGGAATGTATCCTTCTTCATCTAAATAGATAGATAGACAGACAGACAGATAGATACAGATATAGATAGATAGAATTGCTATGAATACTAATAGAAAGGGTCTGAATGTTTGTGGCGTTGCCCCTTTCACAACATATAATAAAATACCTGTACACCTATTAATATTTTTACATTAAGTGACTTATTAATTCTTTATTTTTTTGCCAATTTTGTACAGATCCGCAGAGCATTCCGAAGTATCCGAAATACATTACCAGAAATTCTTTATGTCTTTCTTCTGTTTATGTTCAGTGTTCTCGCATTTTCTCTGATGGCAATGAAACTTTTTGGAAGCAGGTAAAAAAAAATTTAGAATGGGATGACATTTATTTTTATAAGAAAATCACAGCCAGAAATGAAATTTCAATAATAAAAGCCAAAGAGAAGGCCAGAAATACAGAATAGTCAGAGAATAGCCAAGTCAGATACAAAGACAATAGAAAGATAATAAACACATTCTTGGGACAATAAGGACACAGCAGGGCACTGTAATACTGGCAAACTAAGCTTTTATAGTTTTGGTGGTGTTAGTGGTGTAACCATGCCCCCAAAACTTGAGGTGTGTTGGTTACGTGTGTATTGAGCTTCAATGACATCATGACTGTCAGGGAGGCTCCAGGATCGGGCAGAGAGAAGAAGTGCTGGTTCGCCGGATCATGATGAAACATGACGAGCGGACCGCCAAGCTAAGCATAGAAAGGCTTACAGTATAAATCTAAAGCCTGTAAAAAAAAAAATTATACTTACCATAAAAAATCTTTTTTTCTTGTCCCAAAAAAGGGCAAATCAAAATCCTGAATAACTAATTTTTAACCGCTAATTAAAATAAAATTTAAAAAAGGGCGTAGTCATAAAAAAACAAAAACAAAAAAAAAATTCAGGAAATAAAAACTGTGCTGCAATAAAAAAAAAGAATCCATCTTTACCCGTGGAGGGCTTGCCGCAGAACCAGCTCTGATAGCACAGAAAGCCCTTATATAGCTTCACCACAATATCACAGCTATTGCAAACTGTGGGAAAGCGCTTGTTTTAAACATTTAGCAGACACGGATCATATGAAGGTAAAATACCTCCATTCTAGTAATATAATCCACACTCCAAAATATATAACACCGTGAAGGAGTTTAAGCATGCGTGGAGATAGGCATAAGGCTATCCTAACTATAAGATAAGTCCAGGGAATAATTAAAAGTATTTTAAAAAATTGGGCAGACTAGATCGCCCGAATGGTTCTTATCTGCCGTCACATTCTATGTTTCTATGTATTGGCAGTTCTGTATCTGTTTGTATGTAACAGACAGTGTTCATTTCTTATCATTCGCTACAGAAAACTCAAAACAGCCGAAGGAGAACCTTACTTTGAAAACTACCTTGAAGGTGTATTTAATCTTTATGTGTTGGTGACAACAGCTAATAGTCCAGACGTTATGTAAGTATTTTTGAGTTTGTTAGTAAAAGTGAATACATGTTAAAAAGGACAGTTAGGCTAAGGTTTCTGTCAGCTTACTGATAGAATTCAATAGGTATGCATTGACAAAAACCCTTTTAGTGTATAAATGTGAATCATTAATGTACACTGATTTGAGCAAACAGCAGTGGGTTAACTTTTCTAAACATTTTAGTCATCTCCTCCAATAGTTTTTTTGTGCATGCACCTTTGTAGTGTGCTTCAGGTTTTTCAGTCAGTCTTGCCTACAGGAGGCTTTCCGACAATGTGTTTTTGGTCATGGGCACCCTACATGTGGGCATTGGATGATGGGGACAATATGGTAGCGTGTCATATTACTAGGAAATGGTTTGCATTGCAAGTGTTTCATGGATTTGCCGTGATCTGGATTTACTGTCTGAAGCTGCCAACAAAACAATTATACATTTTATCGATGTCTTCACACATCAGTGCTTTGACAAACGCTGTCTTGACCAAGCTTGACAAAAATAGTTTGGTGGAAACATTGATGTAAGAAGGCTCCACAATTTGGAGGAATACTGGACTAACCATCCTTTCTTTTTGTGTTTTTCATGAATTTTGGCCGTAAAAGATAATGTTTATAAAGGAGCTGCTGCAGACAATACTTCTAAAGTCTTAATGAGTCCTGAGATGGCAGAGCAGTGAATTTTGACCAAAGTTTCCTGAGCATCCAAGGCAGGGCATAACAAATCACCTATTTCTGATGATTATAGTTTGTTATTAAACCATCCTTTATGCTGTCCAACCTTCTTGGGGATTGTATTTCACAAACATATGTTTACAGTTTAGCAATCACTGTTCTACACTTCTACTATAAGTACTATGCATTAAATATAAATATGGTTCTGCTGGTCTCCCGTTTAGGATGCCAGCCTATGACTACAACCGGTGGTATTCGATCTTCTTCATAGCCTACATTATACTCAACACTTACATCTTCATGTCTGTCTTCCTGGCGGTTGTGTACAACAATTACAGGAAACATCTAAAGGTATTCAAACCTACAGAGCAAGCTTCCATTGAGGATCATTATGTATATTTATATTTACATTTAAACTTTGTGTTTTGTATATGTTGACATATAATACAACAAATTATGCTCACGATAGTATTTATATTATTGTCCCTCCAATGTGCATTGTTCATTATTTTAGTTGTATTTTACATAATTTACATAATACACAATCTGAGTGTAGACAGATAAAATAAGTGACTAGAAATATCTGTACTGTTGAAAACAATATTTAATGTGGTTAGTGCTCAGATTCACTTTTTTTTAATTCTATTGCTTATTTTGTAAATGTTTAGCTAGGCAGTTACATTGTGTCAGTAGGATATATATACATGTAATTCTCCAATCTCTTTCCAGAATGAGATCCGTAAATTAGCTTATATGAAGCGTCGTAAGATGGTGGAAGCTTTTAATGCTTTAAAGGTCAAGGAAGGTACCGAGTTTGTCATTTCAGAGGCCAGGTGGAAACATCTGGTGAAGTTGGTGGCTCCGGATATCAGTAATTCTCACAGAGAACTGCTCTTGAGAGTGTCTAATGATGCAAAAACAAGCTATGTGGGTGAGTCAATTCTAAATTGGAATAGTCTAAACCAGGGGTAGGCACTCCAGATGCTGTGGACTACATCTCCCAAAATGCTCTTACAACCATAATGCTGCCAAAGCATCCTTAGACAAGTAGTCCACAACATCTGGAGTGCTGAAGGTTGCCTGCCCCTAGTCTAAGCAATGCTAAGCAATCACCGGGTAAAGGGTAGAAATTAATTAGTGGCCCAACCGCTAAGCACATTCATTAGTAACGTAATGCAACTTATTCACATTTAGCTTTTTCCATCAAGTGATATAAGGAAAAGAGGATATATAAAGTGCATACTATTTTTGTAGTATATGTAAAAAAAAAGTGTAAGAACTCAAAAGACATGTTCACCCAGGGGAATACAACGGAGCATGTTTGTGAGAGTGCAAACTGCATAGAATTTTATAATCAGTGTCTTTATCATCTCTCAATTAGGAAAGGAGGCTTTCTTGCGCCTGGCTGATCTGTTAAATATTAAAGTAATTACGATGAAAGCACGCATGCATCCCCTGGAGTCCTGGCTGCCTTACCTGTACAAATCTGCTTTGAGTTGTTTCATCCACAAAGTAGTCAGACACAAGTAAGTCTAATTTTATGCTGCAAAAAAGATTTCTAAACTCATGATGAAGTCACAATTGTGTTTCACATGGAATCCTGACATTACAGTGGGACCGGGATCAAAAATCACCCTAAAGATTGAATGTAGTCCCCTGTTATGGTTACAGTGTCCTGTAGTGATAATGGTGTTTGGCGTGTTCCTTTAAAGGGTTACTCCAAACAACATGACCATTTCAGTGATTTGAAGTGGTTATGGTGCTCGGAGTCTGTAAGAAACGCTGCATATACAAGAGTTCCAGGCTGGCTAATATGAAATCTGTGCATAGTTTGTGTTCGTCGTCAGCACATGGCAATATGGCAACAGAAGACCAATGATGGCATTGCCACTCCTCCAGGCTGCCCAAGTTCTCCCTCAGCCCAGCCTATGGAACATCCCTCTACCTGCAGCGAGATCTTAAATAAGTTTATACTTCATTTATTTACCTTTTTTGGTGCTAGAGTAAGCCTTTAGATATGTGGTTTTATTACATAATAAAATGCTTGTAATACTAACTAACGGTAAAACGTTTCGTTTTGAGTTACCATTGTAGTGTAGGGACCATTTAATCTTATAGGCTTACTTTCTGATATCACAATAGAAATTGTAATTGGTTTATTTTCTTGTGCAACATGATAGGGAGCAGTCAGTCAACACTCATGTTACGTGTAGTGAGGTAAGCGTACAATGCTCGCAGTTTAGGGAATAAGACCCATGAACTTGTGGCAATAATGGCAACTGATAATGTAGATTTAGTGGCTGTTACTGAGACATGGTATAGTGAGAAAAATGACGGAGGCATAGCAATATCAGGGTACTCTTTATATAGAAAAGACAGGGAAGGCTAGAAAGGGGAAGGGGTGGCCATGTATGTGAAGGATAGCATAAAACCTAGCCTAATAAAAGTTAGTGAGGCGAACATAGTCCATTTGATTTGGGTTACGTTAGAATTTGGCAATCACACAGTCAGGGCCAGATTAAGAGCCCAGTGGGCCTGGTGCTGACAATTATGACGGGCCTAATTACAGAATCATATCGACCAAAAACAGTAAAACACTCCCAAGCATCATGTATCTGATGGAGATGGTGCTGGAGAGAAAGAAAACAGCAGCTATAAGAAAAGGCTAGTCTCTCTCTAATTTATGTTTTCATCTTTCAAGTAAATCCATAACTCCTAACAGCAGTGTCCAGTCAGGCAGGAAGTCAATGGGCATGGTAAAAGGGTGTGCCACTGACACAAATCACGTAACCTGCCAAAAGGGGCAAACATGCCCAAAAAGAGGACATGTCTGCTCAAAGAATTAGAAGGCCAGCCTGGCATGAATGCATGTCAGGCTGCCTGCCAATCATGCAGCTGGCCAACTAAGGGCATACTATGCAGACAGCACCCTGAGCTTGGCATAAATGCATCTAATGATGCACTCACTCAACGCTTTCTAAGGACTGTCCCCTAGCACTCGCTGGTCCACTTACCTTCTTACTAGCAGGCAGAAGCTCCTGGTATATGGTCTGGGACAGAGAAAAACTGTATGTAGTGAGTGTAGAAGAAAGGGAACATGTCACAGTGTTAGAGAGACCAAAGTCAGCATTACCTTAAAGGATCACTATAGGGTCAGGAACACAAACATGAATTCATGACCCTATAGTGTTAACACCACCATCTAGCCCCCCTGGGCCCCTCATGCCTCCATAAATATAGCAAAATCTTACTATATTCAAGCCTGAAGCTGTAACTCTGCATGCTGTTAGACTCATAAAACAAGCAGTCTGCTGACATCATTAGAAGTGGTGGCCTGATCCAATCACAGTGCTTCCCCATAGGATTGGCTGAGACTGACAAAGAGGCAGATCAGGGTCAGAGCCAGCATGATTCAAACGCAGCCCTGGCCAATCAGCATCTCCTTATATAGATGAATTTAATAATGAATCTCTATGAGGAAAGTTCAGTGTCTGCATGCAGAGGGAGGAGACACTGAATGTTTGGATGCATTTTAGGCAGCCATGACCCAGGAAGGATCTCTAACAGTCATCTAAGGAGTGGCCAGTGAAGTTATCACTAGGATGTAATGTAAAGACTGCATTTTCTCTGTGTTTACAGCAAAAGGCCTGACGGTAATGATTCTACTCACCAGAACAAATTCAATAAGCTGTAGTTGTTCTGGTGACTATAGTGTCCCTTTAACTGTATTCATTGTCAGCCAGTCCACACAAGTTTTGTTCCCATACATCCCACTTAAGTTTCCATACTTAAGTAAGAGTATGTGAAAAGTAGTTAGGTTTGCCACCTTTCTTGGAAAAAAAGGAGTGACATAAGAGAAAATGCTGTAAAATCACCAAAAAACTACTTAGTTTGATTCTCCTGTATAGATGGATTCCTCCCAGTGTCCTCATGACTCAATGCCCCCATGTGTCGATTACTCCAGGTCTCAGTGTTCCTATGTATCAGTGTCTCAGTTCCCCATGTCTCCCAGTGTCGTGTCCCCAGGTCTCCCAGTGATCCTATGTATCACAGTGTCTCAATGCCCCATGTCTCCCTGTGTCCCCATGTATCCCAGGGTCCCCATGTCACTAGGACACTAGGAAGACAGGGAGACCTCGGGACACGGGGAGACCTAGGGACACGGAGACACAAGTGACACTGGGAGACTAGGGGACTCTGGCTGGGACACATGGGGACAATGGGAAAATAGGGGACACTTGAAGACATGGGGACACAGACACCAGGGACACAGACACTAGAGACACTGGCTGGGGGACATGGGGACATTGAGACATGGGGGCACTGGGAGACATGGGGACACTGAGACACCAGGGCCACAGACACTAGGGACACTAGCTTGGAGACATGGGGACATTGTGACACTTGAGGCAATGAGAGACATTGAGGCACTAGGAGACATGGGGACAGTGAGAGACTGGGAGACTAGGGGGCACTGAGACACCAGGGACACTGGCTGGGAAACATGGGGACACTGTGTCCCCATGTGTCTGTCATAATATCTCCCAATGTCCCTTAGTGTCTCAGTGTCTGCCATAATGTCTCCCAGTGTCCCTTAGTGTCTCAGTGTCTGCCATAATGTCTCCCAATGTCCCTTAGTGTCTCAGTGTCTGACATAATGTCTCCCAATGTCCCTTATTGTCTCAGTGTCTGCCATAATGTCTCCCAGTGTCCCTTAGTGTCCCAGTGTCTGCCATAATGTCTCCCAGTGTCCCTTAGTGTCTCAGTGTCTGCCATAATGTCTCCCAGTGTCCCTTAGTGTCTCAGTATATGTCTTCTTGCAGCCTTTCCCCCATCCCTTACTTCCCTGAGCTGTAGGCTGTCTCTGCAGGGTGGGAGTTGCTGTCTGGACTCTCTGTAGCTGCACCCCTGCAGATCAGTGAGTATAGATAGGCAGGGAGGATTATGCTGGAACTTCCTATCCCTGCCTGTCTCCACACACAGCGACCCCTACTGGCCAGTGCTGGTATTGCATAGTAATCTCTTGTTTATACTGATAAAAATACCAGCATTTGTATTGCCAGTATCACTGCAATATTGGCACCAGCCAGGCAGCCTCAAATACTGGCTGTGCCAATAAAATAAAAGCCAGGTGGAATACCTAAGAGTAGTGTGTGAAAAAAAAAAATGTAAAAAAAAAATAAAAAATTATTTTTTATTTTTTAAATCAATGGGCCTATTCCATGGGCCTGGGCCTGGGCCTGGAGCTGCAGCTCCATCAGCCCCTATGTTAATCCGGCCCTGCACACAGTAATTCGTGTCGGTGTGATATATAGGCACCTAGGACAAATAAGAGTTAGATAATCTACTAGTTGAGGAAATAGCTAAAATGACAATGAAGGGGGAAGTTATCATCATGGGTGACTTTAATCTTCCTGATGTGAATTGGAAAACAAAAATAGCTGCTTGTGCCAGGAGCACATATTCTAAACTCCCTACTGGGATTGTCTCTAAAACAAGTCATTGATGAGCCAACTCGTAAAGAGTCCATAATAGATTTAGTGTTAACAAATGGAGATTTGGCATCAGATATTACTGTAGGTGAAAGTTTAGGATCCAGTGATCATCAGTCAGTGTGGTTTAATATAAGAACAGTGACTGAGTCACACCACACAAAAACAAAAGTTTTAGACTTTAAAAAAACAGACTTTTCTAAAATTAGAATATGTGTAAAGGAGTCATTATCAGATTGGAGCAATTTAAATGGAGTCCAAGATAAATGGGATTATTTAAAAGTTGCACTGCTGAAGGCAACAGAAAATTGCATTAGGCTTGTCAGTAAAGGCAAAAAATTCAAAAAACCACTGTGGAACTCCGCAGATGTGGCCAAAATAGTAAAAAACAAAAAGTTAGCATTTAGTAAAAAACCCAGAGTGAGGAAGACAGAATGATCTATAAGATTAGGCAGAAAGAGGCTAAGCAAGTTATAAGAGCTTCCAAATCACACACACAAGAGAAAATAGCACAGTCAGTAAAAAAAGGGGACAAAACGTTTTTTAGATACATAAATCAGAAAAGGAAAGTAAAACAGTTAGATTAAAAACAGGATAAAGGTCTAGCTGACTGCCTCAATTAATATTTTTGTTCAGTATTTACAGATGAAAATGAAGGAAAGGGACCTCAATCAGGAAAAAGGACAAATGAGTCATTTATTACATGTGAGTCTACAGAGGAAGAGGTTCTATATGAACTGTCAAAAGTAAAGACAAATAAGTCAATGGGACCTGATGGAATACACTCAAAGTTATTAAAAGAGCTTAGTGGTGTACTAGCAAAACCATTAACAGATTTATTTAACCAATCATTGTTAACAGGAGTAGTCCCAGAAGATTGGAAGTTAGCGAATGTTGTGCCCATTCACAAGAAAGGTAATAGGGAGGAGTCGGGCAACTATAGGCCAGTAAGCTTTACTTCAGTAGTGGGGAAAGTGATGGAAACCATGTTAAAGGATAGGATTGTTGAACATCTAAAAACACATGGATTTCAAGATCAGAGACAACATGGGTTTACTTCAGGGAGATCATGCCAAACTAATCTTATTGATTTTTTGATTGGGTAACTAAAATTATAGATCAGGGTGGTGCAGTAGACATTGCTTACCTAGATTTCAGTAAGGCTTTTGACACTGTTGCACATAGAAGGCTTATCAATAAATTGCAATCTTTAAGTTTGGATTCCAATATTGTTGAATGGGTAAGGCAGTGGCTGAGTGACAGGCAACAGAGGGTTGTAGTTAATGGAATATATTCGAAGCTTGGACTTGTCACCAGTGGTGTACCTCAGGGATCTGTACTTGGACCCATTCTCTTTAATATTTTTATTAGTGATATTGCAGAAGGTTTTGATGGTAAGGTATGTTTTTTTGCTGATGATACTAAGATATGTAACAGGGTTGATGTTCCAGGAGGGATAAGCCAAATGGCAAATGATTTAGGTAAACTAGAAAAATGGTCAGAGTTGTGGCAACTGACATTTAATGTGGATAAGTGCAAGATAATGCATCTTGGACGGAAAAACCCAAAGGCAGAGTACAGAATATTTGATAGAGTCCTAACCTCAACATCTGAGGAAAGGGATTTAGGGGTGATTATTTCTGATAACTTAAAGGCAGGCAGACAATGTAACAGAGCAGCAGGAAATGCTAGCAGAAATGCTTGGTTGTATAGGGAGAGGTATTAGCAGTAGAAAGAGGGAAGTGCTCATGCCATTGTACAGAACACTGGTGAGACCTCACTTGGAGTATTGTACGCAGTACTGGAGACCGTATCTTCAGAAGGATATTGATACTTTAAATAGAGTTCAGAGAAGGGCTACTAAACTGATTCATGGATTGCAGGATAAAACTTACCAGGAAAGGTTAAAGGATCTTGTATAGCTTGGAGGAAAGACGAGACAGGGGAAATATGATAGAAACATTTAAATACATATAGGGAATCAACACAGTAAAGGAGGAGACTATTTAAAAGAAGAAAAACTACCACAACAAGAGGACATAGTCTTAAATAAGAGGGGCAAAGGTTTAAAAGTAATATCTGGAAGTATTACTTTACTGTGAGGGTAGTGGATGCATGTAATAGCCTTCCAGCTGAAGTGGTAGAGGTTAACACAGTGAAGGAGTTTAAGCATGCGTGGGATAGGCATAAGGCTATCCTAACTACATGATAATGCCAGGGACTAATGAAAATATTTAGAAAATTGGGCAGACTAGTTGGCCCGAATGGTTCTTGTCTGCCGTCACATTCTATGTTTCTATGTTACAATGAGAAGGGTTTGAGCATTATAAGTTAACATCCTAACTGTTCCCTATCGTGCCTTGAAGGACCATAAAGTAAAATAATACAAAAATGTACACAAAAAACACATATAAACTGGAAAAAAAACCATGACCAATCTACTTTAGATAGAGTAAAAATATGGATGCAAAATACAAGTACATACTTTTTACTTTTTTACTTTTAATACTGTTTCTCTTCTGTTACAGAGGGTTTGTTTATGCCTTTGATGTCATCATTCTAGTGAATGCTATATTTATTGCTCTGGATGACAAGAGCCCATTAATTGCAAATGCGGAGTGGGTGTTCCTCACATTATATATACTGGAAATACTTCTCAAACTCTATACGTATGATCCAAGAACATTTTTTGCTAAGAATCAGTTTTGGAATTGGTGAGTTGTTGTTAGATGTTATGGTTCAATAATTGTCTGCAATATGTTATTTTTGTTCCAAACAACAAATAATTATAGTTTTGCCCGTGTTAATGTATTGACTCTTATTTGCTTGAAATGGGTGTTATTATAAGCCAAAATAATTATGCTAATTTTATTAGCTTGGCCCTGCTTGAAAGACGTTGCCAGATACTAATATTTTCATAGGTTCCGCAGCTGATGTACTAATCAACTGAGCTATCTCAAATTCAACCCAAAAAGAATTTGTACAATCCCAGCCAGCTGCGAAAATTAATAGGTTCTACTTCTGTTCACCATATGTTTAATAGGGCATGTCATTGTCATTTTTGATTCTATGTCAATGAATGTAGCTCATCTGAATAAAAAGGTTGGACAGGCTTTTTGAGGTGTAAATATTTTGTATTCAGGTATGGGTGTCACCTATTAACCTGCTGCACTTAATAGATATTATTACCAGCAATTATTTGGCGCCAACATATTCTGCAGCACTTTACAATTATACAGATTGGATATCTGATGAAGTTACATTGTGATATGTAACAATAGCAGAATCCTACTTAAGCTAATAAACAGGTATAGATTCATCATTGGACCATAGTAAGTATAAAAGCATTAATAAACTAAATATATCAATGCTTCCCAACTGGGGAGTATGTGTTTAAGTCTTTGTTGAAATAAGAAAGAGAAGTCCAGTGTACATATAAATGAGAGAAGAATGGGGGGGGGGTTACCGTTGTAGTGATCCAATGTGTCCAAATTGTCATGTATGTTTGTGTACAGCCTGAAGCATTAAATGTGAGATGCTCTATCATCCTGAGTTCCTACATTCTGGAGAACCAGAGCTGCTGAGTGGGTGTATCAGGCTTACGACGCATAATCAGAATTAAATATTTAGCAGTGTTCAAGATTAGTTAACAATTTTTTTAAAAGCAGAAGTCGTCAATGAGGTTTGATGGAGGAGCAATCACGTCAGTTGAAATGGAGGTGGTTGATCAGTAAATTGTTTAAGTATATTGTATAGCCGCTTCCAGAATGGGATGATCCGGGGACAATCCCACGATATGTATCGGAAAGTGCCCAGTGCATCATGGCATGTCCAACGTCCACCATCCTGAGTCGGATCAAACCTGCAAAGTGTCTGTGGAGTGGGGGCGTGTCCGGCAGCCGACGGAGATGGCCGCCTAATTCTGTAGCTCCCCGTGGCACCCGCAATCAACCCCGCATCACCACCAGCCCAGCTCACCTGCACACACCATATGGGTCGCACAAGGAGGCTGGCAGACCCCGGCGGCACCCCAAGACCCGCGGGACACGGAGGGGATCAATCGATCCATGCTTTCCTCCACGCCGCCGGCCGCAATCAGTCCCCGTGGAGGGAAATGGAGGCCGCAAGCCTGCAGCCTGAATCCTTCCCATCCACGCCGGCGGTATTCTCCCCGGCCCCATCGCCTACCCTGGACACACAGCAACCACAAGGGGGTGAGTGGAGAGACATCTTGCCAAACTTACTCACAAAAGCTGATTTTGAAGCCCTTTCTGACAGATTAGGCCGGGTGGTCCGTGAAGAGGTGGCCCAGCTGCGTGCAGATGTGGCAAATGTAGAGGCCCGCATGGCAGTAGCAGAGACGGAAACAAGGGCGCTCAGGACAGATCTGGAACTAACGAATGTGACGGTCACGAAACAAGAAGCTGACCTAGCCTTCCTCACCACGTGGGTTGACGATCTAGACAACCGCGGCCGCAGGATGAACCTGCGCGTCCGCGGAGTGCGGGAAGGAGGCCACTCAGAAAACGTACCGGAAATACTGCGGCTGATCTTTGCCCAGGTACTGGGAGGCCAACATGCACCCAGAATAGGCCTAATCCGTGCACACAGAGCGCTGAGACCCATACCAACACGTGAGGAACAACCAAGAGACATAATATGCTGCCTGGAAAATTACCACCAAAAAGAAGAAATACTACGCACAGCCAGACGCATGGGGACGATCCGAATGGAAGGTCAGACCGTATCTATCTTCCAAGACCTTTCACGCTACACCCTGATGGCCAGGAAGGCCCTGCGACCGGTGACGTCAGCGCTGCAACAAGCCAACATACCGTACCGCTGGGGATACCCGTTCTCCCTCACAGCCAGACACGGACAAGACATTACCAACGCCCCTAGACAGTGCAGGGACAGCAGACAAACCTTAGACCAGAGACTCAAAGCTCCACCCAAAACAAAGGACTAACCCGAACAAAGGAACCCCACAGGCCTGATTCGACCCACGAGGCACCCCATACCACAGCGTCCCCACCTCGTGAAATAGCTAGACCCATTCCAAGTGGGCTCCAAACAATCCAAAACACACACGTGAGCAGATGACGGACAAACAGTAACAGCTCAGATGCAAACAGACGAGACACACACTCATAAACAAACCCATAATCGACACAAACTAAGAAACGGAGCGGGCGCTCCGAGTAAATAGCCACCCGGGAGACAGACTAAGGACTGCGTACAGTACTAATACATACACGTAGACCTTCTAGGAACCCAGAAGCGGACTGCGCCGGAAGCCAGATGATGTCCAAAGCTTTTTACATGCCCTAGGCCTCCCGCCGCAACAGGTGCCAGACTGGCTGGCAAGATCGTTCCTCCAACAACCACCGGGCCCGCAACAATGACAACCGCGCGGACCCATCGCGGACCAGCAAAGGCCCCGACCCCAGCACCAACGCGAATGGCACCAGGGCCAAGCGCAGAGGGAGCAGTAACAGAACACAGCACCGCACAGCCAAGGCAAGGACATGGGGACTCCATAGATGAGAACTAGCTAAATCGTGAGTACCATCACAGGGGACACCGTACGAGAACCACACAAGCACGCAGAAATTGGGGAGGGAACAGGGGGAACAGATGACGGACAAACAGTAACAGCTCAGATGCAAACAGACGAGACACACACTCATAAACAAACCCATAATCGACACAAACTAAGAAACGGAGCGGGCGCTCCGAGTAAATAGCCACCCGGGAGACAGACTAAGGACTGCGTACAGTACTAATACATACACGTAGACCTTCTAGGAACCCAGAAGCGGACTGCGCCGGAAGCCAGATGATGTCCAAAGCTTTTTACATGCCCTAGGCCTCCCGCCGCAACAGGTGCCAGACTGGCTGGCAAGATCGTTCCTCCAACAACCACCGGGCCCGCAACAATGACAACCGCGCGGACCCATCGCGGACCAGCAAAGGCCCCGACCCCAGCACCAACGCGAATGGCACCAGGGCCAAGCGCAGAGGGAGCAGTAACAGAACACAGCACCGCACAGCCGAGGCAAGGACATGGGGACTCCATAGATGAGAACTAGCTAAATCGTGAGTACCATCACAGGGGACACCGTACGAGAACCACACAAGCACGCAGAAATTGGGGAGGGAACAGGGGGATAAAGGGTCACAAAGACACTATACCTCAACTATAATATGTCGGGGGGGAACACGCAAGGCATGACCAGAGTCATGCCCCTTACCGCAAACTCAATCGGGAGGGCACCAGGACATTTGGGGCGGGGAACAAGGGAAGGGGATATGATGAGAACGACCACATGGGGAATGCAGGACACAAACGGACACAAGGACAATGCAACCACGCTGCACCGCCTGTAGAGGCGCAACTCCGAAGGCCTCCAGGGCCGTGCAAACCCACAGCGCAAAAGGGAACTTGGCAGTGGGAAGGGGGAGTAGGGGGCAGGGAGAGAAGTGGGAGGGTAGAGTAGCTGGAGGGGAGTTAAGGGGCCCCTGATCGATGAGGGAAAGATGGAAGCGCACAAAACAAAAAAAACAAAAAGTGGGAGCAAGGATAAACAACGGAAAACGGGAGAATACACGGTGGGAATACTAAAAGAAGGGGAGAGGGGACCGTATTAAAAGGTTAGGGGAGGGAGGGGGAGACATGGCTATATACGGAGGCAGCGATGATAGTACACGAAATCCCTGTACCATGTTATATTAATATTTATAAATATTAAAATAAATAAATAAATAAATAAAAAGATACGCCCTTTACACGGTGCTTACAGCTCAACGCGCAACGTTAGGCGCATGCATGAAACCCATACAAATTGGCTCGAACCTGCCTCCAGGCGGATCCAGAGCCACTCAGAGCTTAAGACCAGTCCAAGGCTAATAAATGATGACGAAATAGTTACTACAGGCGACTGGAAGACAGAGGTGCCCTCCCCCAGACATTACCAACGCCCCTAGACAGTGCAGGGACAGCAGACAAACCTTAGACCAGAGACTCAAAGCTCCACCCAAAACAAAGGACTAACCCGAACAAAGGAACCCCACAGGCCTGATTCGACCCACGAGGCACCCCATACCACAGCGTCCCCACCTCGTGAAATAGCTAGACCCATTCCAAGTGGGCTCCAAACAATCCAAAACACACACGTGAGCAGATGACGGACAAACAGTAACAGCTCAGATGCAAACAGACGAGACACACACTCATAAACAAACCCATAATCGACACAAACTAAGAAACGGAGCGGGCGCTCCGAGTAAATAGCCACCCGGGAGACAGACTAAGGACTGCGTACAGTACTAATACATACACGTAGACCTTCTAGGAACCCAGAAGCGGACTGCGCCGGAAGCCAGATGATGTCCAAAGCTTTTTACATGCCCTAGGCCTCCCGCCGCAACAGGTGCCAGACTGGCTGGCAAGATCGTTCCTCCAACAACCACCGGGCCCGCAACAATGACAACCGCGCGGACCCATCGCGGACCAGCAAAGGCCCCGACCCCAGCACCAACGCGAATGGCACCAGGGCCAAGCGCAGAGGGAGCAGTAACAGAACACAGCACCGCACAGCCAAGGCAAGGACATGGGGACTCCATAGATGAGAACTAGCTAAATCGTGAGTACCATCACAGGGGACACCGTACGAGAACCACACAAGCACGCAGAAATTGGGGAGGGAACAGGGGGAACAGATGACGGACAAACAGTAACAGCTCAGATGCAAACAGACGAGACACACACTCATAAACAAACCCATAATCGACACAAACTAAGAAACGGAGCGGGCGCTCCGAGTAAATAGCCACCCGGGAGACAGACTAAGGACTGCGTACAGTACTAATACATACACGTAGACCTTCTAGGAACCCAGAAGCGGACTGCGCCGGAAGCCAGATGATGTCCAAAGCTTTTTACATGCCCTAGGCCTCCCGCCGCAACAGGTGCCAGACTGGCTGGCAAGATCGTTCCTCCAACAACCACCGGGCCCGCAACAATGACAACCGCGCGGACCCATCGCGGACCAGCAAAGGCCCCGACCCCAGCACCAACGCGAATGGCACCAGGGCCAAGCGCAGAGGGAGCAGTAACAGAACACAGCACCGCACAGCCAAGGCAAGGACATGGGGACTCCATAGATGAGAACTAGCTAAATCGTGAGTACCATCACAGGGGACACCGTACGAGAACCACACAAGCACGCAGAAATTGGGGAGGGAACAGGGGGATAAAGGGTCACAAAGACACTATACCTCAACTATAATATGTCGGGGGGGAACACGCAAGGCATGACCAGAGTCATGCCCCTTACCGCAAACTCAATCGGGAGGGCACCAGGACATTTGGGGCGGGGAACAAGGGAAGGGGATATGATGAGAACGACCACATGGGGAATGCAGGACACAAACGGACACAAGGACAATGCAACCACGCTGCACCGCCTGTAGAGGCGCAACTCCGAAGGCCTCCAGGGCCGTGCAAACCCACAGCGCAAAAGGGAACTTGGCAGTGGGAAGGGGGAGTAGGGGGCAGGGAGAGAAGTGGGAGGGTAGAGTAGCTGGAGGGGAGTTAAGGGGCCCCTGATCGATGAGGGAAAGATGGAAGCGCACAAAACAAAAAAAACAAAAAGTGGGAGCAAGGATAAACAACGGAAAACGGGAGAATACACGGTGGGAATACTAAAAGAAGGGGAGAGGGGACCGTATTAAAAGGTTAGGGGAGGGAGGGGGAGACATGGCTATATACGGAGGCAGCGATGATAGTACACGAAATCCCTGTACCATGTTATATTAATATTTATAAATATTAAAATAAATAAATAAATAAATAAAAAGATACGCCCTTTACACGGTGCTTACAGCTCAACGCGCAACGTTAGGCGCATGCATGAAACCCATACAAATTGGCTCGAACCTGCCTCCAGGCGGATCCAGAGCCACTCAGAGCTTAAGACCAGTCCAAGGCTAATAAATGATGACGAAATAGTTACTACAGGCGACTGGAAGACAGAGGTGCCCTCCCCCAGACATTACCAACGCCCCTAGACAGTGCAGGGACAGCAGACAAACCTTAGACCAGAGACTCAAAGCTCCACCCAAAACAAAGGACTAACCCGAACAAAGGAACCCCACAGGCCTGATTCGACCCACGAGGCACCCCATACCACAGCGTCCCCACCTCGTGAAATAGCTAGACCCATTCCAAGTGGGCTCCAAACAATCCAAAACACACACGTGAGCAGATGACGGACAAACAGTAACAGCTCAGATGCAAACAGACGAGACACACACTCATAAACAAACCCATAATCGACACAAACTAAGAAACGGAGCGGGCGCTCCGAGTAAATAGCCACCCGGGAGACAGACTAAGGACTGCGTACAGTACTAATACATACACGTAGACCTTCTAGGAACCCAGAAGCGGACTGCGCCGTCGCAGACGGTAAGCCCGATTCCCCCACAGGCATAGGACATAGGGATCCCCACTTATCAGGGGATACACTACTCCCGGAATAGACCCAGCCCCCTCTCGCAGGCCGGGTTACGCGGTCGAATACCCGGGACGATTGTCCATTACCCTACAGTAATACAGAGGCCATATAGGCGTCATGAATAGACGCAACACTGACTACACACTCAACAATACCCCACCACACACTCACACACTCCCCAACCGAACCACGCAACAGACTCACTCACCCCTGTGGCCGTCCGGAGGATGCCGGACCCAGGCCCTGGCGGTTACGCCAGGGAAGACCTAACCATTCTCTCATATAATGTACACGGCTTAAACGTCAGAGAAAAACACACAAGACTTCTGCGGGATCTGAAACACTATAGGGCGTCAATAGCGTTTCTCCAAGAAACGCACTTTCAAGAAGGCAGAGCACCGGCACTGCGAGACCGCAATTTTAGAACGGGATATTTTAGCAACAACCCGGACAGACGCACGCTGGGAGTAGGTATCATATTCTCCAGCAGAACCCCATACACGGAACAAGCCACAGTAAGATGCAAACAGGGCAGGTATATCTTCACTAAAGGCACGATCCTCGAACAAACCTACACATTCGCCAATATATACGCCCAGAACACGAAACAGTTCCCTTTCCTTCGGAACGCACTGAATACCCTGATGAAGTTCGCAGAAGGCACTCTGATCGTGGGGGGAGATCTGAACCTGACTCTGCACCCAGACCAAGACTCCACATCGACACTCGGCAGAACCCCGCATAATCGACACGCGAACACACTCCGTCTACTGCACCAACACCAATTGGCGGATTGCTGGAGAGCGCTGAACCCAACAACGCGGGACTACACGTTTTACTCACAGACCCATGCAACATACACGAGGCTAGACTACTTCTTACTAGCACACCACGACTTGGCCCTACTCAAGGCAGCAGACATACTGCCGATGACGTGGTCGGACCACTGCCCGATCCGCATACGGATGGCATCACCGTTATTTAAACCCAGACAGATGTCCTGGAGACTGAACGAATCAATCCTATCGGATGTGACAGTGGCTGATAAAATAGGCCAAACCATACAAGACTACTTCCAAGATAATGAAACGGAGGACGTGACACCACTGACGTGACAAGCACACAAGACGGTAGCAAGAGGCCAGATTATAGCAATATGCGCGAATCGCAAAAAGACGGCGGTACGGGAAATAACCAGGCTGAGCAGCGAAATTGCGACCCTGGAAGCCAGACATAAAAGAACCTTAGAAACAACAATATACAGAGAGCTAACAGATAAACGCAACCAGCTCACAGCGCACCTTAACAGGAGGATCCAACGCGTGTATGAACACTACAGACACATGATACATGAACACGGAGACAAGTGCGGGAGACTGCTGGCGAATCTCCTGAGGCAACGTAAGACACAACTGTATATACCGAAAATAAAAAACGCACAGCAGCAAATCAGACACCTCCCAGAACAAATAGCAACGGAGTTCCAACGATACTACCAGGACCTTTACCACCTCCGCAAGGAAGCACAGGACAACCAGAAACATCAGAAAACGGCAGACATACGCCAGTACCTGAACTCAGCAAACATGCCAGATATAACGGAAGCAGAGAAAGACGCGCTAGAAGCGCCTATAACACCCGAAGAGTTGGCATACGCCATCAAGAAAGCTAAAACGGGGAAGGCACCGGGGCCAGATGGACTGCCCCTCCAATACTACAAGGTCTTCATGCAAGAGCTTCAGCCGAAACTACTTAAAGCCCTGAACTCCATACAGGACAGAGCTGCACCTACGGCCCAGTTCACCTCAGCAAACATTACCCTACTACCAAAGGAGGGCAAAGACCCGACAATGTGCCCAAACTACCGCCCGATTTCGGTACTCAATACAGACATCAAACTTCTGGCAAGCAAGACTAGCGCCGTTACTGCCAGGCTTAATCCACCCGGACCAAACAGGGTTTATCCCGGGCAGAGAGGTGCGTGACAACACCATCAGAGCCCTGAACATCATCGCACACGCTAGAACACTCGGGACACAGACCCTCCTCCTGTCCACAGACGCGGAAAAGGCGTTCGACAGGGTGGACTGGGATATGATGTTCGAGACCCTCCAAGCCTACGGGATGGGACCTCACTACCTTACATGGGTACGGGCCCTCTACATCAACCCGACGGCACGAATCCGGATAAACGGGGCACTGACGGACCCGTTCCAGATATACAATGGAACCAGACAGGGGTGCCCACTTTCTCCCCTAATCTTCGTGTTGACGCTGGAGCCGTTTCTGCGGAGGATCAGACAGAACGTAAACATACAGGGCCTCACAGTTGGACAGGTACAACACAAAACGCTAGCATATGCGGACGACCTGCTGTTCGTGGTCACACGTCCAGAGACCACCTTACAGGAGATACAGGCAGAATTTAAAGAATATGGGCTGATCTCCAACCTCCAGATAAATTACGCTAAGTCGGAGATCCTCAACCTCACCATAGATCAAGCCCACAAACGGACACTTCAAAGACTGCACCCGTACCGCTGGTGCGACCTCCGTATGCGGTACCTAGGGGTGTGGCTCACTCCCACCCCGGGAGACTTATACATCCACAACTATCTCCCTATACTTAAAAAAGCAACGGAGGAACTAAATAAAAGGAGCTCCCTCTACGCATCGTGGCTAGGAAGAGTAAACGCCGTAAAGATGACGCTACTACCGAAACTTCTCTTCGTGTTCCAAATGGTGCCGATACTAGCCCCACAAGCCTTCTTTAAGACGATACGGGCGGAGGTCCACAAGTTCGTATGGAAGGGCAAATCCCCACGCATAGCACACGCTCAACTAGCCCTGCCTAAACTCCGAGGAGGCCTGGCGCTCCCTGATTTCGAAAAGTACTACCAGGCAGCGCACCTCACCAGAATAGTCAGCTGGTCGGTTGCCAGCGGAACGAAACCATGGACCCAGCTAGAATCCGACATCACGGACTGTGACCTTCGCACGCTACCGTGGATACCCAGAGCCGCTTACAAACATAAACATATCACCAACCCATTCGTGGCGGCGACCATGAAGGTATGGCACAGGGAAGGCACGAAGCAATACCTCACGACGGATCCAGGCCCGCTACTGCCGTTGAGAGGAAACCCAGACTTCCCAGCAGGAGACCACGGCCCCATGCCAGGCCCGAGGGGACGCACAACGACTCCTCGCATGATGGATGTCCTCCAACGCCCATTTGAAGTCCGCGGCGTCACAGACCTCTTTCCTGATCGAACGCTCACCTTTGCACACACACTGGCGAGAGCACAAATAGTAGGGTATGCTCGGTCTATCCCGCAAAAACCATCACTACTGAGAGACCCCACACAATTCGAACTACTCTGTACGCAAGAAACCGAAACCCCACGTGCCATTTCACAGATATACGCAATGCTGGTTACAGGAAGGTATATAATGGCACCCCCTTGCATGAGAAACTGGGAGGAAGACCTGGAAGAATCCATGACAGAAGCAGCCTGGGACAAAAACATCACCCTGATACAAAAAACACCTAGCTCGGCAAGGCTGCAAGAAAACTCATACAAAATATACACCAGGTGGTACCTGACACCGACGGCGATCCACGCCAGGAATCCGGAAGCCACAGACTCCTGTTGGAGATGTGGAAAAGAGAGAGGAACATTCATACACACCTGGTGGACGTGCTCCCAACTCCGACCATTCTGGAACACGATCAGAGAGGTAATACATGAAGTAACGGACGAAATGCTCCCGAGTTCCCCAGCAACGTTCCTCCTACACCACACGGAGATGTCTATACCGACATACAGTAAATCTGTCATCCCACGACTATTAAACGCAGCCAAAGCAACGGTCCCAATATACTGGAAGCAGGTCACCACACCCTCCATCGCAAGATGGGTGGAAGAGGTGGAAGCAATAAGGAAATTCGAAGACGTGAAGGCAACCACCCCGAACCTTAGAGATCGCTACACCAAACGCTGGTTTCACTGGCTTAGACTAACCACCACTGACGCTTTTCGTAACCGCATGGCGACGCAGTAGACGAAGGAGGAGAGTATTAAGCCAAAATAAATACGGCACTAATATGAAAAGCTGGGGACCGACGAACCGAGACGGCGACAGGGGTCGGAATCACCCAACATCACCAACCCACAACACCCACATGCACATACACGACACACAACTTGCCGACACATATAGTCACACACCCAAAGGACAACAGGAGGCGGGACAATGAGCAGGTCAGTCGGGGACACACACAAGTAAACACACAACATATACGAGCGGCAGCGTGCCAAGACTTTAAACTACGCAACCTGAACCAAGACCCACTACAAACACACGGACGGCCAAGACATAGAACAAACGGCCACTGCAGTCAGATAACACCAGACGAGAGTTGCGAAACCACACGATCTGAGCGCCACACACATCCACAGCCCAAACACAGACCTTTTTGATCTACCCCAAAACCCACAGAACAACACCACTTCCACGCACACAGGTGAACCCACCTCAACGCGACGACACCAAGACACACAGACAGTGACTCAGACACACAAACCGGAACCACAAAGACGCAACAATAGAGGCAGACACACAGAGCTCCAGAATAAAGCAACACTACATAGACATAACCATGGAAACACGCAATAGAGGTGACACAGACTTACCGCAGAAGGTTTCACCATCACCAGCAGAGGGGAAGGACACGAAACATACAAAACAAATACAACCCCAATATGAACGAGCAGGTAGCCACGAGACACACTAGAACTCAGGGATACAGACAAAAGACCAGAACGCGTAAACACCAACTCATTTTCGCAAGATGGGCCTTCACTGCAGTTTACGGCAACAGGGATAAATACGCAAACACAGGCATCTCAGAAGAAAACAGTGTATTATTAACGAACCACACTAACACCAATTAATGAGCCGATAGCTGAACACATGATACTAACTGCCACCCCAAATAGCCACTACATACCTGACAACAACGCCCTAACAACGCAATACCAAGCAAGCTCACCACCTTTTGCATGTCTAGCCCTGCACGGCTTATAAATGTCTAATATTTGTCATTGCGTGTTTATTTTGACTTATACGCCTCTGCGCAGGCAACTATGTGTTACTCTGAGTTAACTGGAATATGTCGGCCTCACATTATATACACTTTCAATGTGCACGCCTCTGCGTAGGCAACTATATGCATGAATGTTACCAAGTTCAACACCCGTGTTTATATTGCTGACAATAAACATATTTGAAACAAAGTGTCTGTGGAGTTCCGTACCACGTAGATAATAGCTTATATGCGTATTCTTGTGTTTTCCCTGTATAGGAATGTTTCTATTTAAGCTGTTATTTTGGCCTAGAATGTATAATTCATTTGTAATTACTCCCCAGTTTTAAGTTTTGTAAATAAACCCAATTGTCCATACAACAGCCTGAGTGCTTTGTGTGAAACTGAGATCTTTCTGTTTTTCTTCTCTGAATTGGCAGGTTTGATACTTTTATTATTGTTGCAGCACTAATTGCGACAAGTGTCAATGCAGGATTGAAATCTGGTAAGTTTCCATTTTCATGCTTTTCAATGTAATATTTTGCTATTTCTGATTCATTTCACTTCTGAATAGACGCAATTCAATACCCGAGAATGTCAAAGCAGCACTGCTGATTGAAAGAAACCTTCATATTAAATAGGGGGAGGTTCGTTAAAGGGACATAGCAGTCACTCTAACCATTTAATCTCACTGGTTTGGTTACAGTGCCTGGAGTCCTCTGGTGCTGTCCCTCCATTCAATGTCAAACCATTTAAATGCAGTTTGACACTGAGGGGCCCTGGCTGCTGACATCTTACCTCCTATTAAATGTATGGCTAAAGCAGAGATTACACATTTCTTTCTAGCCATACCGATTCATACCAGCAATCTCATCTGCACTTTTATCCAATCACAGCCACCAATTTCTACTCAGGCTTCTACTTTCTTATTAGCCCAGCACAGAGGGAATGGGATGTCGGGTACTCTCATATGGCATTAAAATATTTAAAACAGTTCAAATGCTGAATGTAAGCACAGTGCCAGAGGACTCCAGAACCTATAACCACTTCAATGAGATGAAGCAGTTACAATGAATACAGAAGGGCAATGGGTTGCTTTTTCCCTCTGGCGCTTAAAGTGTTAAACTAACATGCTTGGCATAGCAGTTTATACATTCCTATATGTTAATGAGAGACATGTCCTAGTCTTGTGATGGGTAAACATTGATGGCTGAGTATGATTGAATACACAATAGAAAACAAACCAAAATTCAGCCATCACTATAGTAGCCTGCTTCTGAAATGTCAATGTAATATTAAGAGAATATCATCCACTGTTAGACTGATGTTAACTTTATCTTTCTTACTATAGCAAGCCAGTACAACAGTCAGCAGGTGCTCGACATAGTGTTCATTTTAAGGGTTCTACGACTTATCAGGATCATCGACAGTGTGCAAAGGTAAGTTGAATAATTATAATCTGATTTATAGGGATTGTATAAAACAAACCTGTATTCCTAAAGCTGTAGTGTTGCTTTATCTATAGGTGCACCCCCACACCTCCACCCTGCTGGACGGTTTACTTACCTGACACCCCACGGCGTGCCAGTCTCGGTGCCATTGCTCTGCCTCCTTTGCTGAGATTATCATTTTTGACAATCACAGCCAGTACAATGTTTTCCAATAGGAAAGTATTGAGAGGTTAGTGCACATGAGCGGTGAAACGTGTTGCACCAATCTTTTTGAAATTGTCTCTTTGAGACAACCTGATTGAAATAGCCGAGTTTTGTGTGACTATTTCAGAAGAAACATCTGACAGCTGAAAGCCGCTAGAGGCATTTTTACACAGCACTGAAAATATTGCCGCAGTGAGAACATTGTTTTACATTGCAGTGTTAAAAAACAGAGGCACAGCACCCAGACCACTTTACGCCTATAGTGTCCCCTTAACATCCATTTAAAGCTGTAATTCCACATTTTTTAAATATCATGAACTTTTTTTTTAACTCTCGCAGTATTTCCCTAGTTGAATATTCAGCAATGTTCTAGTAAAGTAATGTAAGATACTAGTATGAAAATACTGGATTGCATTAGGTACGTGGATTACAAAGACCAATTCTTTACTTAGAGCACATATTTTAAGTAAAGATATTCCAGTATCCTTGACCAGGAAGGAACTTGTGGGTGGAGCGTTTCCATTGTCTGCACATTGTGCATTAAATTGTAATTAAGGGGCTTAATGTAATGGACTTTATAGGCACTATAACCACTTAATATCATTACTTTGATTTAAGCAAATATTTTTTCAATGATCTCTCTTTTTTCCTAGATTCAGAGTTATTGTGAATACGCTGATTAACATCCTGCCTACGATGCTGACATTTTGTGGACTTATTTTAGTAAGAATATTCTTTGCACGTCTAAATATTTGTCTGTATATTTAATATTTATGTGTAGTAAATGAATAGACTGTTTGATCTGCTGTTTAAAGCAGAGTTCTCCAAATTCTGGCCCTCCAGATGTTGCTGAACTACAACTCCCATGATTCTTTGAATGAAATAGATCTGGATGGATAGAGTTTTGAGAATCCTAGCTTATAGGGACATTTTAGTGGTTCTGGGGAATATAGCCTATCCTTGCAAACTGTGCATTGTAAACATTGTCTTTTCTAGAGAAAAAACAGTGTTTACATTTCTGCCTAATGCCACCTCTAGTGGCTGTCAACCGGACGAATACTCCCCATAAAGATGCATTGATTCAATGCATCTCTATGAGGAGATTCTGATTGGTCACAGCTTGTCGATTGCTGCACAGGCACACTAGCCTCCCAATGCTTCCAATACTCACCAGTATTGATGATCTGAGCCAGCTAAGGCGGGATGGCCACACAGAGACTGGCACTCCTAGGGAAATAATGTAAGTAAGTTTGCTTTTTTTCTAACTTTTTTTTTTGGCAGTAGCAATTATCCAATCAGATTGTATAACACTGTAGCATTAGGAATACATGTTTGTATATCTAACGCTATATTGTTACTTTAATATTGTGAGAAATGTGTTTTGTTTTTCACTTACAATTCCTATTATATAACCAATACAACTGAAATAAAGCATGATTTTGTTTTGTCACGTTTTAGGGAAAACCAAGCTTTTTTTTTTTTTAAGTAATTTGTTCCTGAGCCTAAATTCCCCATAGCTGGTGTATTTGTATGGATTTTGTTTAATTCGAATTTCTATTGATTTTTTTTTTAAGGTGATATATTATGTGTTTGCAGTAGTCGGTATGGAAATATTCAGTGGCAAAATACGATTCTTTCCTGCGAATTCCACAGATCCTCTTGCCCATTCTTGTGGGGCTGCTGTCCTAAAGGACTCTGTCTTTGCCAGGAGCAAATATTGCAGAAACAACTTCAATGACATTGCATCCAGCTTTATTGTTCTCGTGGAGCTCACTGTTGTTAACCAGTGGCACGATATCCTTTATGTCATGGGGATTACCAGTTTAAAACCTAGTGTTAGCTTCTCAACTTGGATTTTAACTCTGAATATGTTAATTTTGCTAATCACTCAATATTTATAAAACAGATGTAGTCAGCGGAACTTTAAACCCCTACAATCCTTTGCAGGCTACGATGCCTGTGCTCTATGAGAATTACAACTGTTATAAACCTCATAACCACGTACTCTGGATTAAATATATAGACATTTATATGAGACCTAGTCCTTTTAACAGCCATTTAATGAAATCTTGATGCCTTATCACTTCCTTCCTCAGTCTCAATGTATTATGTCAAATGAACCCCCGTGTTGTGCAGCCTGTTATAGTTAATGATCATCTGCAAAGCTCTGCTTTTATTTTAGTTAGCTTTAATCAATAGTTATTGAGTTTAATTTTCCTTAATTTAATACTTCTGGCTACTGGATTTTCTCTGGTTACTCATCCCGCAGCAAAGCTGTATTTCATCGCCTTTCATGTTGTCATCGTTATCATGATTATTAAGTGAGTTTTCATTCTGGGATGTGTATTTCAATAATTCACTTTTCCTTTGTGATAAAAATAAATGTTTTTTTAAAGGAGCTGTATCCAAACAAGAGTGCTATTCTGGATCAAAGCGCTAAGTATGATCCAATCACCATTGAAACCAAATAGAATTTATTTTGACATTTTGCACTTTGCTCCAGAGTGGCACCTTTTATGCCATGACACATATCCTTTATTTTAAAATAAAGCAGAATTTTTTTTTTCATTCCTCATTTCTTTATTAGCAGCATCGGAAGTAATGCTTATCTTCACTGTTTCTATTTTACCAGCAGCCCTTCATCAGTATGCCCTACCAAAATATACCTATATATGTTCAGGCATGCATAATATATACTTGCGTTCCTTTAAAGCTCTATAACTTGTTTTATACAGATTTGTGCTGATATTATTTGGATATTTTAACAGCACATCAAAAAAAAGCTTGTTTAGGCCAGATTTTCTCCTTTGGCATTAAAACATTGTAAGCACACATAGCAGATTAAAGTTTACCTAATGCCAAATTAAAAATATTGCAGCTATCTGCTATACACTAATTTACTAAACCCCAAATTGAACTACAAACCAAATTACAAAATTCAAGTTAAAACAGCCAAGCTGTGTCTGTAGTTGAATTGATAAATTTTCCATCAATTATTGCTTCGGTTTTGCAATTTAGTTTCAAATTCACTGCAATTTGGAGTTAAGTGCCTAAATGTATTACATTATAATCGATAGCTGATAAATGATATTCTTAGTATTTGCTATGTATGTTATTTATTTAAGATTTTTATTCATGTTTTTGGTCTGAGGATTTTATATTTACAGCAAAACACAAGCAGAATCCCTAACAGACCCTTTCTAGTTGACAAAATAACCACATTTATGCAGGACAGTTGCAAATGATTTATCTTGTCTGCAGCATTTTTGTAGCATTTATTTTAGAAGCTTTTTTCGTGGAATATTCGTTGGAAAAGAGCGAGGTTGAAACAGCTATTGAGAAGAAGATCCAAGAGCTGGGAATGGCTGTGCAAGAGTAAGTCGAAACTGCATGGGGCACTAGAATTTTGTGTAGTATATCCCCCCACATAGCATTAGCATAATCTGCAAGATCCCTATAAAGTAGTGAAATTAATATCTTTGTATGAAAAAAATGACTGATGACGGCTGTTTCAGAGTAGTGTTTTGTTGTTATATTTGGAACATAGTGGACAAAGTCACAGCTGACAAAGATGGCTGTTCAAACGATAATGTGAATAAACATTAAAAATCTACTTACCGGTATCTATTGATGTATGGCAGAACAAGATGGCTGCTGCCAACAAACTGGTCGATTTTATTGACTTCTATAATCAGTCAATTTTAAATGTCAGAAGGAATGGAGATGAGAAATGCTAAATATGCATAGAATGGTAGAATATACATACAGTTGCAAGAAAAAGTATGTGAACCCTTTGGAATGATATGGATTTCTGAACAAATTGGTCATAAAATGTGATCTGATCATCATCTCAACAATAGACAATCACAGTCTGCTTAAACTAATAACACATATAACAAAGAATGAAATGTTGCCATGTTTTTATTGAACACACCATGTAAACATTCACAGTGCAGGTGGAAAAAGTATGTGAACCCCTAGACTAATGACATCTCCAAGAGCTAATTGGAGTGAGATGTCAGCCAACTGGAGTCCAATCAATGAGATGAGATTGGAGGTGTTGGTTACAGCTGCCCTGCCCTATAAAAAACACACCAGTTCTGGGTTTGCTTTTCACAAGAAGCATTGCCTGATGTGAATGATGCCTCGCACAAAAGAGCTCTCAGAAGACCTACGATTAAGAATTGTTGACTTGCATAAAGCTGGAAAGGGTTATAAAAGTATCTCCAAAAGCCTTGCTGTTCATCAGTCCATGGTAAGACAAATTGTCTTTAAATGGAGAAAGTTCAGCACTGCTGCTACTCTCCCTAGGAATGGCCGTCCTGTAAAGATGACTGCAAGAGCACAGCGCAGACTGCTCATTGACGTGAAGAAGAATCCTAGAGTGTCAGCTAAAGACTTACAAAAGTCACTGGCAAATGCTAACATCCCTGTTAGCGAATCTACAATACGTAAAACTAAACAAGAATGGATTTCATGGGAAGATACCACAGAGGAAGCCACTGCTGTCCAAACAAAACATTGCTGCATGTTTAAAGTTTGCACAAGAGCACCTGGATGTTCCACAGCAGTACTGGCAAAATAGTCTGTGGACAGATGAAACCAAAGTTGAGTTGTTTGGAAGAAACACACAACACTATGTGTGATGAAAAAAGGCCATCTGTCTACCAGCTGAAGCTCAACAGAAGATGGGTGTTGCAACAGGACAATGACCCAAAGCATAGAAGTAAATCAACAACAGAATGGCTTAAACAGAAGAAAATACGCCTTCTGAAGTGGCCCAGTCAGAGTCCTGACCTCAACCCGATTGAGATGCTGTGGCATGACCTCAAGAAAGCAATTCACACCAGACATCCCAAGAATATTGCTGAACTGAAACAGTTCTGTAAAGAGGAATGGTCAAGAATTACTCCTGACCGTTGTGCACGTCTGATCTGCAACTACAGGAAACGTTTGGTTGAAGTTATTGCTGCCAAAGGAGGTTCAACCAGTTATTAAATCCAAGGGTTCACATACTTTTTCCACCTGCACTGTGAATGTTTACATGGTGTGTTCAATAAAAACATGGCAACATTTCATTCTTTGTGTGTTATTAGTTTAAGCAGACTGTGATTGTCTATTGTTGTGACTTAGATGATGATCAGATCACATTTTATGACCAATTTGTGCAGAAATCCATATCATTCCAAAGGGTTCACATACTTTTTCTTGCAACTGTATACATTATCCTGAATAAAAAGCATTTTGTACAAAAAAATAATATCAAAATACATCCTGTTTTAACCTGCACAGATCAATTTAATGTTCTCAGAACTGTTAATGGTGGTATGTTTAATTATTTAATTTTTGTGTATTTTAATTAGGGAAGATCTGTCTTCTGGAAACTTGGTTGACAACATGGAACATGGTGAAAATAATATTAGCCATTTTGGAGATACAAGCCAGAAGGGGTTGATGTTTAGAATTGCATCAAACCGTAAGTTTCTGTTGTCTGAACTGGCATGTTTGTGCCTTAAAGGACAGTGAAATAATTTAAAATAGTCTTCTTGGTCTTTATAGTAAAACATATCTTAATTCTATTTATGCCACATTGTGTACAAGTCCGTTCTTTATTACCCATTTTACTCTTCTATTCATTTATTTCAGAGTATGGGGTACAACGGATGAGAAGCAATAAAAGAGAGAGGGCTATACACTAAACTTTGAATTTTAGCAAATTAAGACCTCAATTTAATATTTTGGATAAACATTTCAAATTATGTGATATTCTGAAAAATATTTTAAAAATTTGATATACTGATGTCTTTTTATATTTTACTATTTTGAAAAAATAATTTTACAAGTTTATCCAAAAATGTTATTAATCTGAAAAGCTTGTCCAAAAATATAATTTGAAATCATCCAAAAATATTAAATAGCGAAAGAAGGGGAAGGCTTGCACTTGCTGCAGATAATAGATACTAGGGACCTCTTTACATCCTTAAACTATAAATGCTCCTTCTACGTGATTATATATCAGGCAAACAGAAGGCATTATTTGCAGGCTATTTTATAAATCTATGTACATATAATGACATTTAGATTTGCCCATTGATAATGGTCCAGTACTCCTTTTTATTGAAATGTTAAAATGAATCTAAAGTATAAAGAATGAAAAAAAATTTTTTTAGAAACAAATGAATGTATCAACTGTCTTTTAGGGTACAGAACAGTGGATGCTTTGTTGCAGCGTATGTTTGAGTCCGAGATGCCATTGGAAGACGACGTTCCAGAAATAGATGAGATATTAAACCTATCGCCAAATGATATCTACATACACAACCCAAACTTTAATACAGCAGGCTAGGTTTGGATGACAGGGCTATCTGGAAGCCAGAGGAACACAAATTACTGGAATTATAAGACTGGAATATACACTCTTCATTTATTAGTAATAATGCATATTTTTGTAATAGAAATATTTATTTTTACGATCAGGGTCTCCTTTACTATAAACAAATTGTGCTAAAATCAACTGAAGTTTAGACCAAGTGTAAAGACGCATGGAAGGTGGCATTTCTCTTGACATATGACAAGCATTATAACCCTTACCTCCAACCTCGGTGATTGGCAGAAAACAACTGATGTCATCCATTTGCTATGCAAAAATGCATTATGGCACCTACAGGGAATGTAGGACCTCAACCTGAATCAATCAAGTTTTTATCAACACATTGTACTTCTTCAATATAAAAAAATACACCTTATTTCCACCAAAACAAGGTGCCTGCATTTATAGAATTTCATTTCTCCCTATTGTCTACAATGACTATTGGAATCAGTATGAGACAAAAGGCAGGCGCACACACAAACCTTCTCGTGTATGATTGCCTCACGTGTGCTGCTAATGAATAAGAACACCTTACGTATGTGATGTTGCAATGCATCGATGGCTATGATCAAGTGCTTTGTGGAAAATACTTATACCGTCTTTTAACACTAGAAAATGTGCCTGTGTCTGTTAAATCTTTTCACCTCTTTAATTTCTAAATTGTACAACGTTGCACTATTGGATGTAGGAAGTCAAGAGACACATAGTGAAGAATACGTCTCATATAAAGTTAGGGACTCGAACGCCTCTCCTCTTCAGGGATATTCGCAGAGGTGATTTCACATAAGCTCTTTTTTACCTTGTGTTTTTTTTTGTATAGCCAGGGTATCCAACTCACAAACTTTCTTTTGATTTATTAAACTGCATAACATTTTCACTTTTAATTTTTAATTACATTTAAAAGAAACTTAATGATTTTTTTAAATGATCTATATTGGGGTTTTTTAAAGAAAATTTTACTTTTCTATCAGGCTGAGCAGCCATGTTGGGTCAGATTCTAGTGTTCGGTTGAGCAGCAGTTGAGCAGATAACAGTAGAATCTAACCCAACATGGCTGCTCAGTGAAGGAAAAAAAAGGAAAATGTTCTCATTAAGCAGAGACCAAACTAATATCCACACCCTAAAATAAGGCAATTAATTTACAAATCTGAAGACAATTTGGTGCTTTATGTTATATATCATGCCATAAAAGTTGCAACATTCTCACAGTGCAAAAATGTAAAATATTAAGAATTAGTTTAAATATTGAAACAATCCATTCCTTTTCAAATTATTTTTATTGAACAAATTTTGTAAAAAAAAAAACAACATATTTCAAAACAATATATTTTGGATTTTTGTAGTTACATGTATTGTATTAGTAATGGGTTATTAAACATACTCAATAACCTGAGGCAACTGAAATCATGTTCTAATATTGTTAGATTGACTCGTTATAAATTGTGAAATGTATAAAATGAATCCTTAAATAATAAAATGTCGGTATGCTTTGTACATTGGATTATTCATATATAAAGAAATACAAAAGTCAAACTTTTCCACCCTGCCTGTAGTTTATTAATTGGTGTGTCTGCTGTAGCTGCTTGGTAAACTAGCAGTACTGAAGGTTCCCCGCCCCCTCCCCCACCCCCCCAAATATTTTTATTTAAGATTTTCATATAATGTAAAAAAATGTAATAATTTGATTCATGTGCATATGATACAGAGCAGTAAACGGGAACAGAAAAGGGAGAGAAGAATAATGCAAAAGAGAAAGAACGTTGTACGGCAGAGAACTAACAAATGCCACAGTTTGTCAAAACATATTTTTGTTTCTGAGTGACACAATCTGCAATGATTTAAGAGGTTGCTGCATGTTTATAAAGTACACTTATTTGAGAACAATATATCATTACATTTTTAATGACTAAAAGGGAGTTCCTGGTACAACACTTTGCCCCGTGCCAAATAAGGTAAGTGAGTGATTAACGATCTGAGTGGCTAGATGTGGTGACTGCATAAGTTTATTGATGAAAAATACTGCCCCCAACACAGTAAAGCAATCCTCCGCATTCCGCTAATTATACAATAAATGGAGAAAAGGAATAAACTCCCCAGATCAGGACATGCCAAATCAAATTTATTTAAAAAAAAATAGGATTCACTAGATTCTTGTTGCAGGATCCAATACACATTAGGGAAGGACTACCAGTGGCAGATTCAGGGGCTGAGTACCAGGGCAGTGGAGATGCCTATGGTAGCCCTAAAACCTACAAATATGGGCATTTTAATTTGTTTTTTATTATGTCTGTGAGTCACAGGTGACAGTGGTGTAGATGTAAGCCATGCTTGCTATATAAAAAAACTTGATTTGGCATACCAGCATCATTGCACCAATGCATACTTCCCAAAATTTCAAATGGACAAAGCGGCACACTTTAATTTTTGGGGTGTGAGTTGGGGGAGCAGTCATGGGCAGGACTGTTCTGAGAAATGTACTAAAATGTACTTTAAAACTAGAACATTGTGTTTTAGTTACAAAGACTGATTTCTAAACACTCTACTACTCTGTGTGAGTGTATCTAATATATCTTAAAGGACCACTCTAGGCACCCAGACCACTTCAGCTTAATGAAGTGGTCTGGGTGCCAGGTCCAGCTAGGGTTAACCCATTTTTTCATAATTATAGCAGTTTCAGAGAAACTGCTATAATTATGAATGGGTTAAGCCTTCCCCCTAATCCTCTAGTGGCTGTCTCATTGACAGAGGCGCTTGCGTGCTTCTCACTGTGATTTTCACAGTGAGAGCACGCCAGCGCCCATAGGAAAGCATTGTAAATGTTCTTGCCGCGCGTGCGCATTCAGCCGGCGGGGCGACGGAGGCGGAGAGGAGGAGAGCTCCGCCCAGCGCTGGAAAAAGGTAAGTTTTTACCCCTTTCCCCCTTCCAGAGCCGGGCGGGAGGGGGTCCCTGAGGGTGGGGGCACCCTCAGGGCACTATAGTGCCAGGAAAACGAGTATGTTTTCCTGGCACTATAGTGGTCCTTTAAATACACTCCATTCACCTACAATTTTACACTATATAGGATTCCTTTTTTTAGCACTTTAACATCATACATCCCTTTATATATAAGGGTAAGTGTTCTCTGAAGCACTCCACTGTATTTACTGGTAATGGCGTTTGTTACTTCTTTAATTTAGTATTTTGATTTCTAAATTTATTGTAGTTTAAAGACACATTACGGTGAGTAATATAGCTCTGGAACTCTGTTATATAGTCAGACACAAACAAAATGAAGCTCCTAGAAAAGAGGGGAACAAGGGACCGAGGGATTTGGGCCCTAAATAGGGACACTTGGGAGGTTTCCAGTGTATACACTAGCTAGCTGCCAATCCCCTGCTGACTCAACAGGCTCTGACCTTCTTACTAGTGGAACATGTCACTGAGCAGGGCTGTGATGGCTTACAGTCTCTAATCTTATGCTGTGTATACCAATTCCTCATTTCTGGATAAGGTAAAGAAGGCAAATGTTCCCCAGATAGCTGCTTTATTTAAAGTCATGTTGCCTTGTATTCTGTAAGGCTGACTCAGGCTTAATGATATTTTCAAGACTCGGTTACAATTCAGATGTTTGGTGAAATATAAATCTCAATTAAATCAAAGCTGTGTCCTTGCAAATATCCCAAACTGTTGGTAAACTGGCATTAAGTGATTCTGTGTTTTCAGAAATACTCAGAAGTATCAGTATGAAGGAGCTGACCATTAGTTTCATAGATATACGCATTGAAAAGTATACCATATTATTTTCAAAGGGTTACTCTAGCCATCAGACCTCCTACAGCCCACTTCAGTGGTTATGGTGCCATTCCCTGGTAATGAAGCAAACAGTTTTACAATCATTTGCTCACTTAAATGCTCCTGCTGGCTGATTGGTCTCCACTGAAGCAGGGCTTCCCACATCTGGTGTAAGGGACATGGGGGAGTAAGAGACACGGGCTAAGGCACACGGAGGGTAAAAGACGCTAGCTAATAGACACAAGGGAGATAAAGGGGGGTAAGAAACAAACAAGACTTTTTTTATAAAAATCAAATCATGTGTTCCCATCACAAGGTAGAAGCTTCTTTATAGTTCCTGGGTTTCTTGCCTCAGTGCAGCCCCTGCAGAACAAGCCTCTGCCTCCTCGCATGGTGCTCTGTAAGCTGGGAGGAAGTGACCTATACTCACTTCCTCCTAGCATTGCAGCAAAACTGCATATCTGACAGTGGCCTGGTCCAACTGTTTAAAAGGCTGCAGCTCATCACTGGGCAGCGTAACACATCCCAGCTTTTGGGCCCTAGAGCAGCTGCCCAAGCTGCGTCGCCAGTAATTCTGCCTCTGAGTCCAGAGAACAGAGAGTAGGGAAAAGAGCTACATGTTCCATCAGTAATGTTCTACTTAGGATATATCATATACTACCTAGGTAGAAGCCAGGCCTAGCAGCAGGAACATGAACGCATCTCCAGGCAGCTTCTATTTCTCCCCTCTGAATATTTGTGCTGGTAGCATTGGCAACAGAATGGTAGACACTTTCTCTGTTAATATTCCAGATCATCTACAGAGAACATTCTGCCAGCAGTATAATTTTTATGGCTTCATATTTTTTTCCTTCATATGATTACCAGTATTTATTGTATGCAAAGTTTTACATCTTCCTAAAATTAAAGGAAAACTATAGGGTCAGGAGCACAAACATGTATTCCTGTCCTTATAGTGTTAAAACCACCATATAGTCCCCCTGGCTCCCACTTGCATCCCTAAATATAGTGAAATCTTACGTTAATTTCAGTCTGCTGCTGCTAGCTCTGCCCCTGATCTTGGTTGACATCATCAGAAGTGTTGAACTGAGCCAATCACAATGCTTTCACAGAGGAAAGCATTTGAGTGTCAAGGAGACAGATTAGCCAGCACAAGCCAAACACAGCCCTGGCCAATCAGCATCTCCTTTTTGAGATGCATTGACTCAATGCATCTCCATGAGAAAAGTTCAGTGTCTCCCTGCAGAGGGTGGAGAAACTAACTGTCAGTGCTGGACAGTGGGTGCACTGCCCCAGGAAGCACCTCTCGCAGCCATCTGAGGAGTGGCCAGAGGGGGTATCCCTAGGCTGTAATGTAAACACGGAATGGAATGATTATACTGAACAGAACAAATACAAATAGGCTGTAGTTGTTCTCTTGACTATAGTGTCCCTTTAATTATCTTACATTTCTCCAAATTGAATGTGCTTTCCTCATTTTGATGTACCACCAATATTTACCAGAAGGCAACCGAGATTTCAAATAGTTACTTTATAATCAGAAAAGATCCACTATCTCGAGATCAAAACAACTCAATCCTCAAATGTATAAAAGTTTACATGAGACATATATAGAGTGCATCATTTTATATTTATTGAACATACTTCACAAAATTTGTGTTATTTTGCAGTTTATTTGTATATAAGAGAATTATGGGCTAATCTACAACTTGGATATTATTAGAAATTCATCTAAAAAAACAAGATGTGGGATACCTCTGGACTCACGAAGAGTCATCCTTCAGCACTCAAGAAAGGAAAAACCTCCAGTGGAGGAAACCTCTGGGGAACCATGGCTTGAAGGACTGCCCTTCCCTCTGGGCATTAAGAGGTAAATATAGAGAATTTATTGCAAGCAAGCACTCCTGTTTTCGAGATATGTTTAAACATTAAAATGGACAAAATAGAGATGATATAGAGAAAGAGATTTCCCTGAACATGTAAATAGAGACAGACTGCTTTCCCCAAACATTTAAATAGACAGACAAAGGCAAACAGATTTCATGAAACATTTAAATAGACAGAGAGAAAGACAGACATTTTCCCAAACTTTTAAGAGAACAGACAGCGTTCCCTATACATTTAAAAAAAAAAAAACAGACAGACAACTGTCCCCAAACATTTAAATAAACAGACAACTTTCCCCAAACATTTCAATAGACTGACAGCATTCCCTAAATGTTTAAGTAGATAGAGAAAGACGTCTTTTCTCAAACTTTAAAATAGACGGAGAGACAGATAACTTCCCCAAATATTTAAACAGACATACAATAATAAACATTTAAATAGTTAAATTAGTGTTATTTTGTAGTCATTTATTGGTATATAAGGAAACTATGAGATAAAATATAACTTGGATATTATTAAAAATTCATCCAGAAAACTAAGATGTCGGGTACCTCTGGACTCACAAAGAGTCATCCTTCAGCACTTAAGAAAGGGAAAACCTCCAGTGGAGGAAGCCTTTTAAGGAACCATTAATGCCCTTCCCTCTGGGCATTAAGAGGAAAATATAGATAATTAATTACAAGCAGGCACTGCTGCTTTTAAGAGCTGTTTAAACATTAAAATGGACAAATAGAGATGATATAGAGGAAGAGATTTCCCTGAACATCGAAATAGAGACAGACTGCTTTCCCCAAACATTTAAATAAACAGACAAAGACAAACAGATTTCCTGAAACATTTAAATAGACAAAGAGAAAGGTAGACATTT